CAAAGTGTTAACTTTTAATTTTCATTTGTTCACTTATTACAATTAAGAAAGTGAATATAAAATAATAACTAAATCACTCACAATTAAACATAACGGTGATAATATGTATTAATGATTAGGTAAATTGTTTTCACATTGAACAATATGAAAACAATTATGATTAACTGGACAATAATAATAATAATAATAATAACGTTACTTGAACAGCAATTAAATTGGCCACCATTAGATTAGTAAATGTTAACTAATCAATCAAAAATTAACGAGCAACAATTTAATATATAATGAATTGTTTTTCTTACAACAATTTAGATCGAGGTGAACATGTATTTTTTTTTACCATGTGAAATTGTGATTAACTAATCATGATCAGTTTCAATCAAACCATATCATTCATATTTAAGAGATAGATTAACAATTTAAAGTTAATTGTAATCAAATTTCATGGCTACTGGTTAATAGACAATTTAAATCATTCACAAAAATCAATCCGATCATTTAACCTTGTGGAAAAAAAAAGTTACTTCATTTAAATTTGGTGGAAAAAAAGTAAATCAAATTGTAAATTAAATTAAATTACATCAACAAGTGAGAAATGAAATTAACATCATTGTCATTTCGTAGGCGATTATTATTATCATCATTATTAACCTGGAAAAGGTAGTTACCTGGTGATGATGATGAGTAAATGATGATGATGATGATGATGATGATGATGATGATAATAATGTTACCATTAAAGGTAAATTGTGAGTGGTTAACAAATCAAATTGTTGTGTGGTTGTAATCATTGGAAAGTAACAATTGAAATGATTACATTGAGAGGGTGATAGTTTTGTGTGAGTGTCACTTTCAGGACAATTTCATCATCATCATCATCATCTTCATTCATCATCTTCAATTTCATGATAAAACTTTCACTAAACTTTTTCCTAAACTCAACAATCATAATCATCTCATTCATAAGATTATTATTATTTACTAATCTCCTTTTCCAGAATCATTTGAATATCAAGCTGAGGAAATTTGTTAATTTCTTATTCTTGGATTTAACCTAATTAACTTAATCACTTTTAACTCTTTCACTTTTCGATATATCCAATTCGGGTAACTGTTAATTGTTGTAACATTTTCTCAATCATCATCATCATTATCAACAATTAACTCATTCAATTTTCATCTCTAGTTTTTTTTTCTGTTTATTTGATTACATCTAATTCATTGGTTTTATATAAAGTTCAATGGCTTTAGTTTTATTATGTTGACCTGATACTTTTTATCACCATCATTTACAATTAGATTTGATTGTTGTGTTAATCAGTGGTAATTTAATTTTCTTTCATTACTTAGTATTATAATCAAATCAAATTAACTGATTTGATTTTATTCCGATTGTAATATTTATATGTATTCAACCTTGAAAAACTAAAAAAGGTTACAATCAATTTTTCAAATTGAGAATCGTAACAATTTACTGATTGTGATTAAGTATTAAAATTATTATTATTATTATTTAGTTAATCAGGTTATCTATTAGTTAAATTAGCATTAAATTGTTTGAACAGTATTGTTAATATATTATTATTATTACTTTAACAATTTAAATTTAAAATTATTCTGATGATTACAAAACTTTTCCTCAACTTTGGATTAACAATTAAGATTAATTGTTGATCTAATTTTGTTGATTCCTTTTCTAGTGTATTGGTCATTGATTTGCTTTTATTACAACTCAATTAATTAACTGTTACAATTTAATAATAATAATAATATAATCTATTAATATTAAGTAACATAGTCAATCAATGGACCAATTAATTTGTTTCTTGGCTTAAAGTTGATAGTTTTTTTTTGTCTTATTGTTAATCTTTGATTAAGATTTGATTTTAAATTGTCAGTTCATCTGAATCCAAATCAGGGTAAAGGATTAACAGTTAAATCATTGATCAAGTGATAATTTAACCAACAATCAATAGATTATCAATGATAACATGTATTAATTATCAACAGTTGATTGTTATTAAACTGATTGTTGATCTTAAAGATATGAGAATGAAAAAATTATATTGGTTACACTTATTACCTTTTGATTTTTTTTGATTATACATTTAATTTGGTTTACTAATCACTTGATTGTTGATTTACAATTAAAGTGACAATCAAAAAATATCAAAGTTAATCCGTTTTTTTTTTCATCTATCAATACATTGATTATCAATTCAAACTAAATATACAATAGTTAACAATTAAGGTCAATGGTTTAATAACTGTAATACTTAATTTAGTTGTTGTATTAATTGCTGGTTGTTAATTGTTAACAATTAGTACAAATGGTAAGCAGGCAAAAAACAACAAACAATTGCAATCAAATAATATATTGTAAATTGTTAAGCAACTCAATCAATTGATTCTTATGTTAATATGATAAAATTAATTGGATGATTAAATTAGTAACAATATGAAAAAGGTAAATTGTATAAACTACAATTAAGTTAATCACAATTAACCAAATATAACCAAGAAAAAAAATAATCATCTTGAACTTGAACATTTTAATGATTTTCATGATGATTAAAGTACAATCAAATTGTTCATCAAGTGAATTTGATCAACAATTAAGGTAAATTATTGTAAAAATTAACCGGAACTATATTACTTTCATAATGATTAAGTTGATTAATGTTTTTACAATTGAATAATAGTCTAATCGTTGTTAAATTGTTGGAGACAATTTAGTAAATCATAATTTTGTTCAGGTACAAAAAAAACTTTGATTTTAATGGAAATCAAGTTGAAAAAAATGATAAAGGTTAAAACCTTATGGATAACCCGTTGGAAATGATTAAATAATCAACAATTAACTTTTTAAATAGAGTCAAGTTGCCGTTAATTGTGATTGTAATGATTAAGATGACGATGATGAAGCTCATTGATGGGTGAAAATGTATATCATCATCATCATCAACGGAAACAACAATTTAACCTTCAATAAGTTACATATAAGATTAAGGGGTTTCTATAAACAGTTAAATTGTTGATAATTTAACTGGATTATGTTGACTAACTAATGATTTAAGATTATGATTATGATGATAATGGGTTAAGGAAGGATGAAGATCTTGATAGTTATCATCATCTCTATGTTATAAATATAGTGTTATTAATACGTTAATCAGCCAACCAGTAATAGTAAATTAAGTGTAGTTGATTAGTTGATTATTTTTTTCTCTCTCAAATCAAATCAGGTTATTATTATTAACTATTACCAATCCCATAACAATTATGATTAAGATTGTTGCTGTTTGTGTCGTTGACGATAACATTGATGCGGAACTGGTTACAATTTATAAATTGTTACTGTTGTTCAAGTTATATAATTTACTGTATTTCTTTATATCTTTCATTGACTTTTTATAATCAATCCTTAATCGTGACGACAAATCATCTTAATCATTTACAATCAAGAGCCTGTGTCTAGCTTGGATTGATATCTAAGTGTAGGAGGAGGAGGATGAGGTGGTGGTGGTGGTGGTGATGGTGTTGGTTGTGATGATGAAGATGAAGATGAAGATGAAGATGAAGATGAAGATGAGGATGCTAATGGTTAGATTTGCACTTTAATAACTGTTTTTTGTGCTATTACCTTGATGGTTATTGATTATGATTACCTATGATTTACTAATTGCTGTTGTTTAAATTATTATTGTGCAACATTTTAATCACGACTGAACTTTATAATGACATAATTTAAAGTATTAAATTGATTATAAGTTTGCTGTTAATCAGATTTAAACATTATATTAAATATATAATATGAAAGTTATTTTCATCTTAATTTGTTTATTTGATTAACGGCCAGTTTAAAGATGATAAATTGTTTGGACTTGATCATGATGGTGATTAGTAAATTATATTAAGCTTATTTGTCCATTGATGATGATGATGATTGACCTAAAATTAATAAGAGAGAGAGAGAGAGATGATGATGATGATAGTTAAAGAGGAACATGATTACTATTAAGAGACGGAAGATGAATTTTGATTATATGTAAGGAGAGTCCACTTGTTGGTCAGTTGCAGGTCAGAAAATAAAATTGTTCGGTTCTTATCGTTTTCTTAACTAAATATCGATAAATATTACCTTTGATTCTGATGGTATGTTAATTGTTATGAAACTAAATTTAAACTTTTGTTGACGCTATTTAAGATTATTGGTCAACAGTATCATCATCATCATCATCATTATCATTATCATGAGAGTCCATGTTATTAACATGAAACCAAATAAAATTGATAATTATGATGACGAGAAAGTCCCGTTAACCTAATATGTTCATGTACCTGATTGTTGATTGTTTTGCATTTATTTGATTATGTTTTTCATGATCATATTGTAAGTTTTGTCCGAAACAATTTACTGATTGTTGCCTTTAAAAAAAATAATCAGACTAAATTGTTGCCGAAAGTTGAACGTGAAAAAAAGTGGGCCTACAATTGATTCCAAACGCCTTTTCTATTGTTCGGAGTTGAGTAGGAGAGAAAGAGAAAGAGAGAGAGAGAGAGAGAGAAAGAGAGGGAGAGAGAGAAGATGAAGAAAGAGAATGATGATGAAAAGAAAGAGATGATGAGAGTGAGCTGAAGATAACGAAAAAGAGAGTAAAAAATGAAGATAATGATGATCAGTTGATTTGAATCATTCGTCTGTTGGTTAACCTTTTTCATTTGCTTTCATTTTGGTATCACTTTCAATGAGCGATGATCAAGTGACGATAATTAATAAATTACAATTAGTTGATTCAGTTATCATGTTGAAGTTTATTTAAGTTACTTTGTTTGTGTTTCCATTTATTAAGTTTCCATTATTATTATTATTTGATTTTAAATGATTAACCGTTTTGGGCTAATTAATCAGCTAAATGTTTCCATGAATTTCCTTGGATTAACTATAACCGTTAATAACATTGTTGTTACTTTTTTCGTTGTCTTAATTTCATCGATAGTTAAATTAAGTGAACCAAGTGAGAATACCTTTAGGGTCGGACGGCGATTACAACAGTTCAATAACGATGACCTGGGATTCAATTTGGCACCGCAGGTCGACTTCCTACGAGACTTTACTCGAGCCAACTTACCGGGATTCCAGTCTTTCCCGTCTCCGCCTCGTTCTCCTTTACAACCGAACGACGATGCACCCGATTACTCTGATATTGAAAGTTTCAGGGAAATTGGTCCGGTCGATGGTTCGTCTGAAGGATTCCCTCAAGGTCCCCCGTCATCAAACTTTCAACCATCTCCAGTGAATAATGGTCAAAATGTACGTAATTCAGGTACATTTCAACGGGTTCGAATACCACAACCACCACCACGATCACCAGCCTTGGATTTACCTTCAATAGCTTTTGCTAACAACGGTGGACCACCTCAGTCACCTCCATCATCGGGTGCTAGCGGGTCACCTTCTTCTGGTCCACGATTCCAACGGATTAATGTTCGTAACAGGCCAGTAGCATCGGTTCCTATTCCACCTCCGATTACATCAGGTCCACCTGCCACACCGAATACACCTTTCCGTCGGCTTCCAGTTTTCCGTAATCCTGATCAAGATTCACCCGCTCGACGACCATCAGTTGTGCTTTCAACTGAAGATGATCTTGTTCCCGGTGGGTCACCTGTTCTTGGTCAACCTTTACCACCAGCATTGGGAACAGAGTTTGCAGTTCCACCGGTGACAAGTGCTCCTCTTCCTCAACCACCTCAAACTCAACCTCCAAGAACTCGGCGAGTTCGTCCAACAACCGGTGGTTCAAGACGAATTCGACCTGCAAATGGTAATAGAATCCGTTCCCGTGTACCAAGTGATGTGTCTCCAATTGTTGCACCAACAGCGGTTATAGTTCCTCGACCTCCACCAGCTACTCCAGTTCCAATTGGTACTGAAGTTGCTACTGATGATCTTGAACGTAATCAAGATACCCGACGAATCCGTGGTCGACGACCTGTAGCTGGAGTTTCTCCAGTACCACCGCCAAACCGTTCGACATCAGGATCATCACCACTTCGTGTTCGCCCCGTTTCAGGAAATAATGTTGATAATTTACCAACAGATGAAGAAGTGATCAACAATAACGCTCTTGATTCAGGAGATTCCGTTGAATCGGGTTTCGGCTCTAAATTGAAAGATGATGTTGTTTCATTTTCCGCCGGTGTACCTTCACCAAATGGTCCAGTTGTCGTCGATTACATGACCACTTTCACCTATTTAACAACCGTAATTAGAGGTCCACATACTCTTTTAACAAGTCGCGAGTCAGTTACTTCAGTTCGAGTCACTCAACCTTACGATCCATCGATCGCCGAAATCATATCAGCATCAGGTGGAAATATAAGGTAAGAATCTAATTAGAATCGTAATTTAAATTCAATTTTTTAAAAGAAACAATTTAATTTGATTAATTTTTCCTTTTCTCTTCTAAATTCAGGCCAACCAGAACATCAAATCTTTTGACCAAAACTCGTGGTCCAACAACGACAATAGTTAATGTACAATCAAACGTTCATATTGCTGGTTTTGAAGCAGCTCGAGTTTTACCGACTCGAGGACCATTGATAGCACCAAGTCCATCGTCCGTTCAAGGTGATTCATTTTCTCGAACACGAAAACCAGTGATTGAAAGTTCACCTCGATTACCCGTTGGTAGACCCAATGGATTACCAATTAATGTTTTAGCTTCGATACCAAAGGCACTTCACACACAATTTACTTACTTTTATACAATTCATGATGGTGCTTCAACCCGACGATCAACCCGATCAGAAGTGACCACATCTCGCTTGACGGATCCCTCGGCATTGGCCACTTTAAGGTTGGACAGTTCCGTTAATGGTGATGGTCTGGTTGCTTTAACCGGTGGGTCGTCAACAGTTAATTTAGGTAAACGAGTTGCTGGTGGGGCAACAACGGAGGTCAATTTGGCCATACACACTTTCCTTAAATTAGACGGAATATCAAATGTCATCATTGAACCAACGGCCACTTTATCGGGATCATCTAATCGTTTCAATACCGAAAATGTTAATCTTAAGCCTACTGAGGTTTTCACCCGTTTACCCGCTTCCAATGATTTACCTTCACTTGATCCATCAACACCCTTCCTAGAATCATCATTCAGCGCTTCAGGTACAATTAACGAAGCAGCGGCAACCCCGTCAATCGAGTTATCCTCATCGTCTTTCCTTGGTAATCGTCAATCCCGTCGACCAGTTCGTGTCTCATCAACTGCTGTTAATCCCGATTCATTAAGATCAAGAGGTGTTGTAACCCCACGACCTGGAAATCAGCGACTTCGACCACGTCCCAATTTCAATAGAGTTCAAAGGCCAAAACTTAGCTCAAGCTTTGATTCATCAGAAGCCACTGAAAGTGTCACCAATTTAGAACCATCTTCATCGATTGATTTACTTTCATCTTCTATCAACATTGAAACACCATCACTTGGACCAATAGGTTCGTCGACTGTACAACCATTTGAAACTGACCTTGTTTCGGCAAGTGAAGTCCTTTCATCTGATTCCGTTAGTCCTTCAATGAAAAGAGTAGCTGTTACCGTTAGAAGACCAGGTTACACTGGAGATAGACTTCGATCTCGACTTAGACGACCAATAACTCCAACCGAAACAACTGAACCCAAATTCGTTGTGGTCACTCGAACTGGACCCATTGGTACTGCTCGACCAAACAAGAATCGATTCCGTGTAGCAAGTAGAGTTATCCGTCCACCCGGTGGGTCAAGTGATAATCTTCTATCATCATCTTTACCCTCCGTTAATCCTGAAGAAGTTGATTCGTCGATCGATTCAACCATTGATCCAACACGATCTTCTGTCCTGGTTACCTACTTTACGACAACAACACACACGATCCCATATGTTGTTTCAGGTAAGAAAATGTCACAACAATCAACTAATTGGCACTAAAATTGATAAACACTCACACACAATTTGATCAACGCACTTTTGGCTCGATTGCAATAGTGAAAAAAATGAGATTCAGCTCAGAAAATTGAGTGAACATTTTTCTGGTACTTTTTCTAACCTTTCGTTTTTTTCCTCTCTCTCTCTCTTTACACTTTTGTCCCGTTTCGTTTAGATTCTGGTTATGATCGAACTCAATTGTCCACTATTGAGATAACCAATTCTCGAATTGTAACTGAAGCCGTTGCCTCTGCAAGCTATGGTTCGGTTAATGCTGATGGAGGAAATTTCTTGGCAAGTAGTAATCTTGAACCTTCGGGACCGGTTACACTTGAACCTACTCTTGTTACTGGTGCTACCGTTTCAATGAGAGATGGTCTAGCCTCAGGTGCTGATTCTGACCTGGAAACCCGAACAGTTTACACAACATATACCTACTTTACCACTTATTATAATGGTCCATCTTCACTGGTCTCATCATCGGAACAGGTTGTCTCCAATGTGGTCACCCAACAACGAACCGCTCCATTGCCTACCATTGGTTCAACCTCTGCTGTTAACGGATTTAAGGTTGAATCATCGGTGCCCACACAAGCACCACCACCAGTTCCTGTTACCGTTGTTGAAACAACAGAAAAGATAGAAACTTCAACAATCTATTCAACATACACTTACTTTGCGACACTTTTTAACGGATCAAGATCAGTTATCACTCCTATTGAGGAGACTCGAAGTGAAATATTGACTCTTCGTGAACCCATCAAAGTGACCCGAACAATTTATCCTTCTCGAACTGCCGATCCTGGTTCTGTTGGTGAATCGTTATTCTCACGAACATATTATACAACTTATACCAAATTCTTGACCCAAGGTGAACCTCGATCGACCATTGCTAGTGAAGAGGTTGTCTCCAATGTGGTCACTTTCTCGGTACCCGCAAGTAGCGGTCAAGCAACACCTCCATTGGCTACAAACAAACAGCAAGATTATTCAACAACCGAAACAATTAATCAAATGTCCGCTTATCCAACAATCTTGTCCACCAGGTCAACTTATACCACATTGACCCACTTTATTACACTATTTTCGGGAAGTTCAACAATTTTATCATCCATTGAGGAGATTTCACCAACTGTGGTCACTCAATGGGCTGGAACTTCAACCGAATCAATTGATTCAACTAAATCACGTTCACCCAATCAATTTGGTGCCAATATTGTTCGAACTCAGGCTGATGTTGAATCACTTAAATCATCTCGTGATCTAATGACCGCTCTGATTCCGTCGATATCAACACTCCATGTAACCCACACCTATTATACAACTTTCTTTAATGGACACACATCGATTGTCGCCTCACGAACCGAGGCAACATCTTCACTGGTCACTCTCTATGTACCAAACTCTTCATCAATTAAACCTGGTTCATCTAATCCAGTTATCACAATGTACAAATCTAATTCAGTTGATTCCGATTCACCTGATTCTATGGTCACTTCTTATGTGACCCTCTCATCAGCTACACCCACTGTCCCATTACCTTCAATCTCATTTGGACATGAGAGTGAAACTGAAAAGCGACATCACCATCAACACCAACCAGAAGCACTTGAACCAACCTTATCGGTTGATCCTTCGGTACGATTTGAATCAACTCGTCCAGGTCAATTAGAGTCAAGCCTTTTCTCACGAGTTGTTGAAAGTCTTAAAGGATCTCAAGGATTATCGGAAGATCAAATTTCTTCAGCCATTTTATCGGCTGCCAGTTCAATCGGTAAATCGACAACAGTTATCGGTGGATCTACTGTTGTCTTTTTCCCTGATCTTGTTTATAAACCATCAGAAACTACTTCCGGCTCGTCAATTGAACCAACAATTGTTTCATCTTCAATCGGATCAGCTTCAGCTTCCCCTGGATCACCAATTAAACCTGGAACTGTTATTGAGCTGAGTGATTTACTCGGCGGTGGATCAAATGTTAATCTTGCTGGAGGTTTGGGTGATACAATTAAGGATATTGTTAATTTACTCGCCAAGAATTCAGGTAAAAATAAGACAGCCAATGTACCAGCTACTGATGATCGTATTGAACCCTCGAGAGTTGAACTACCCAAGAGCGGAGTTACGGTCGCTCGCGATTCTGAGCCAGTTTATATTCCTCTTGGAGGTAAAGCTCGACCAAATGAAACTGAAGAGGAAAGAGTTTACCAACCTGAGTTCGGTGTCGAAGCCGGTGAAGATGCACCAGGATCTTCATCTTCATCATCCTCATCGTCTTCTTCTTCGTCGTCATCTTCTTCATCTTCCGGTTCACCATCAACCGACAATGATGATCTAGGTACTTATGGCGGTGGATATCAACGTAAGAATGATGTTTACCGAAAAAATCAACCCGAACTTGGACTCGAAGGATCAGTAAGCCCACCAACGGGCTCATCTTCCGGTAAAACAACACCAGGATTAACCAGTAAATTGGGTAATGAGTTGTCAGGATCAACGACAATCTTTTTCACTGGTGGTGACGCATTAGAATCGTCGATAGCTGCACACCCAAGCTCAGGATCCGTTGAATCGACTCGATTTGTGACCTCAGTTGAAAGTATGACACAAACATTAACCTTAACCACGACCAAAGTTTATTACACAAGAGATTCACCTTTAACCATAACCTCGGTTTTAACAACCACAATTCCACCTCGAACTTTTGTTTCAACCATAATTGGTTCAAGAACGATACTTGGAAGTGTCGGTGAACCAACTAAAACTGTCGACATTGAACCATCAACATCAACAGCGGAAGAATCGACAACAACAATTACCACAACTACTCTGATATTTAATTCAATTACAACAACTGTTGTTCGTACACTTGTAATACCAACACAAGGTATTCAACCAACTAAACCAGCGACGACACGAAGTCCAGTTACCCAAAGACCAAGTCGTAAACCATATACACCCTTCCGTCCACCAGCACGATCAACACCACCACCGACAATTTCAATTCGACCACCAGGAACACGAACTCGATCACCTTACCTACCCAAACGACCAGTAACTCCTCCACCCTCAGTTTCACCTTTACCAGGTTCTTCCGGTGAAAAGGTTCCAGTAACAACGATGAAACCAATGCCAACACCAAAGGTCATCGATGATGACCAATGTCGACCTTCATGTAACACTGCCAATAAAGAGATTTGCAGAGAAACTGAAGGAATATTCAAATGTGAATGTCGACCTGGTTTCGCTCGTAAAGAAGGCGAAGACAAATGCGAAGGTAAGAACATTACAATTAAATGAAAATTCTCTTGAATTTCTTTTCACCTAACGAACTGATTAACTAATTAATTGTTTTCTTTTTCCATTAGAAATGCAAAGTTACGTTGTTTTGGTGAAACTAATGAAAGTCGGAGAATCAGCGGTTTCATATAAAACTGAATTATCTGATAATGAGTCCAATGAATTCATAAAAATTGCCAAACTGACCAAAGACGAAGTGGACAAAGCTTATCGAAATACAACAATTAAGGAAAATTATATCGGCGCTGATGTTAATTGTATCAATAAAACAACTCTTGGTGATGAAGGAGTTCTGGTCAACTTGACCATTCATTTATCATCTAGAGATGACTTTGATGAAGGTGTTCTCAAGCAAGAATTGTCTAAATCATTGACGGAAACTGAACTTTTACCAAGCCCATCGTCAATCGTTGCCGATGTCCATGAAGTAATGGACTTTGATGAGTGTACCAATGATAAATATAACGATTGTGATCCAGCCGCTTATTGTATTAATAGGCCAGGTAGTTATCGGTGTGAATGTAAAGGCGCTTATACCGATATGGATCCTAATCTACCGGGTCGTCATTGTGCCGCTGAGATTAAAAATTGCGAAGCTTGTCATGGCCGTGGGGACTGTGTTCGAAGTGAAGACGGCGAAAGGACAACATGTAAATGTCAAAGAATGTACCTTGGTGAACGTTGCGAGATTAATGGACTTCGTAAGTTTCGAGTCAACGAAAACTGAACAGAGAAAAAAACTTTTTCTTTTCTTTTCCTTTTCCAATTGATTGAAACGTTTAAGAAAAAAAAGAGAGTCAACATTTAATCGAAAACTTTTCTTCTTTTGCCAATCAACAATCAATTGATTCTTGAAAGATTATTTTCTAATCTTAGACCAATTAACCAACTGATTAATTGTTGATCATTTTATCGTTACAACTTGTTAATTGTACGTAAATTGAGCTGATCAACTTAAAGATATCTCCTATTTGGTCCAGTGAAATGATTTAAACTTTTTCTCAATTAATCAACCTACTCAGTTTCTTTTTTAATCTGAATTAATTTTAATCATGGAAAGAAATAGAAATGATTAAGATTTGGATTTGATTTAGTTTGATTTAGAAAGAAGAAGGTTCAATTTGTTGATTCGTTTCTGGCACCCAATCAATTTAAATCAATTCGAAAAGAAAAGAATATCAAAAATGAAAAATTCTAATTGTTATTAACTTATTTTCTTTTTCTATTCTGATTGACAGTTCTTGCCACATTCTTACCGATCGCCGCCATCTTATCCATTGTGTGTGTCTGTTGTATTGTTTATTGTTGTCGAAAGTACAAAAAGAAAAATAATTACCCGAAAGGTTTCAAAAATATAGTGGCCTTCGCACCTCCGACCATCGGTGCCAATACACTTGATCGAAAAGCAATGTTGGAAACATCGTCCGAATCAAGTGAACACTTTCGTCATGCAGCCCATGATGGAACCAATAATATGGGCGTAAGTATAAAGATAAACTTTAAAATGTTTTAGAACTTTTCGAAAAAGTTTGCAAAAGTTTCGACATGAATATGGTTAACGTTCTGTTTTTCATTTTTGTCGCTGGTTCATTCAGGGTTATGCCGGAAATGGTTCCACAAGACGTCACATGTCACATGATATGAGCTTAGATAGGAACATGGGTCCAGTGGGTAATGGCGGTGGCAGTGGTGGGTCATTTGTCGCAATGCCACCACAAGTAACGATACCTCGAGTCCGTCACTTAAATCAGGTAAATTATGGTATCCACCGAGGACAAGTTTACATGTGGTGATACCTAATTACACCTAAATTTAATTATTAATTAATTGAGAGATATAATTGCTTCATTCATCGCCTTCATCATATGCTAATCTCTCTCTCATCATCATCATCATCATTTTGTTCATTATCTTCATCCTTCATGATCCCTTTATCGTTACCTTTTTGTTTTTGTTTTGCATTCTAATTTCATTCAATACAAACTCAAATTTCATCATCATCTTGTGCATGATCATCTCATCATCATCATCATCATCATCATCAATTACAACCATTGACCACTCATCACATTATCATCGCCATTACAATTTTGATAAACATTTTCATCATCCTGCTTAAAAAACATCATCAGCATTTCCTCCCCATAGACAAACACCCTTGTATATGCACAAAACACAAGCTAAGCGCACACCCAACCACCCACTTCCGCCTGCTCTTGTTGACCATTTCCGTTTTGTTAGTACTGAACTTTTTGTTGGAACCTTTAAAAACAATGTTGATCATTCAATCATCTTAATCATTATTTTCCAATTCCCAATTAGTTAACTGAAACTGATTGATTAACGATCAACAATCATTTATTAATACCCAGAAGCTAATTTCTTAATTGTATTCCTACTCATTATATCATCTTTTTTTTAATTGATTAGTTTTGATTGTTGCAAATTAATTTTTCCAAATATTTAAAACTTACATTCTCAAAATTTAGGGCAATTAGTTTTAATAGTTAACCATCAACAATCAATTTATATAACTTAATTGTTAGATTCAAATCACTTTTAATGACAATTTTTTTTCTTCATCTTCTTGATTTTATACAAAATCAATCAATTAATCATATCAATCTAAATCTTTATATATATTTAATCATAATAATATATTTCTCAGTGTAGGTTAATCAATCAGTTTTAATTAACAATTAAATAACCTGATTAGGTTAAATTAAATTTGATTCTCACTAAATTAAGGTTTTGAAAATAATGATTAAATTGACAATTTTTAAAAGGAACCAAAAAGTTTAATTAATAATAATAATAAGTAATTAAAGTGTAAAAACTTTGCAAATGATTAACTAATTGTTATAAGAAAATTTCATGTTGATCAACTTGCCAACTTTTTAATTTTAATTACTAAATTAAATTAAATTTAAATTAAAAAAAACTACACGATTAGTTTTAAAAGTATTGAACAGAATAGGAAAACTTATTGATTACAATTAAGTTTCACAATTAGAATCACAATTAATAATAATGAACGATAATGATAATAATTAACTTTTACCTCTTAATTAACCTTATCACCATATCACCCTTTCCTAATTAAAATTGATTTTAATTAACACAATTAAATTCAATCATCATCGCAATCAACTTTAATAATAAACCCAATCAAAAGTGCCACTAGAATCAAAGTAAAATTAAAAGCAGAAAGTTAATTTAATTGTTACTGTTTAAACAAAAACAATCAGTTAATCAAAGTTAAACATGATAAACAATTAACTTATCCTTTTAAACAATTAGTTAATCTGTTAATAGCAATCAACTGATTGAACAATTAAAAAACTTTTCTGTACTTTTTTTTTACTTAAATTGATTCTCATTCTTAATCTAAATCTCTTGGATTAAAAAGTTTTTCTTAATCAAGAGATTAATTAATATCAATCAATTTGAATTATAAATAGTTAATTAATATTATTTTTAATTACAATTGTTCACGATCCCAAAAGTAATGGTTGATTATCATAAAGAAATTGATTGAAAACAATCAATACCATTAACCAGCAATTAGATTATGAACAAAAAAACTTGCGACAAAAATTAAGATCTAATTGTTGACAATTTATTTTTTTTATAAAATATGAACACAAAAATTTTGGATACAATCAACTAATTAACTATTTTTTTCACAACATAATTAATATCGTATCCTTAATTGTAAAACTTACCTCTTTCCTCAATCCAATCCAATGCAATCAATCAATTGTCCATTTTAATTGTTTACCAATTGCTTTTGTTTTATCCTCTTCCACCATCATCATGATCACTACCACCACCCACTCCCAATGTGCCCACCCCACCCCATTTAAATTACCAATCCAAACAATCAAAATAAAATTAAATATCGATTGACAAAAACAAAATCATTGCTTTTATTTTCATGGGGCTTTAATTGTTGGGCTTAATTGTTCACCATCATTTGGTGTATCGGGTTAATCACGGTTTTAATTGCTATTTGATTACGATCGCTTTGGTATCATCAATTTAATTGAAAGTAAACAACAACAATTGATTAGTTAATTTTTTTAAGTGATTCGATTGTTTCATTTTCATTTTCGGGTTCGGGTTTGGGTTGTTGTTATTTGGGTTTATTTGGGTTTTCTGGTTCTATGTCTCAATTGTTTATCTGGTTTCTAAATTGCTTTGGTTTTCCCTCGACTGTTGATTGTTGTTAATTTCAAACAATCAAATTTGCTTCTATTGATTGGATTCATTTGGCTCTCTCTCTCTCTCTCTCTTTGGGTATGTTGCTGCTTATGGGCTGAGCTCTTCGATCAGCTGATTTTGTTTACTTTTCTTCTGTCTTATTTGTGCTTCTGCTTAAATGAGATGATTGACAAATTATTGGAAAAACTGATTAACTATCCCGATGGTGATTTTTGTTGATCTTTGATTATTTGAGTTAATTTTCTTTCCTTCTCTCTCTCTCCAGTCAACATGTAATAGTCAACAAGGATCACCAACAACAACAGCGACTCGAATGGATCCTGATAGTTTAGAGAGACGTAAATCTCCACCTGAATCACCAATCGATGATTCACTTCCACCTATTAGTTTTAAGCGACATTATCGATCTCAAATTAGGTCAAGTTCGTCTAAAAATGACCTAACTCGAAGTGATTCCCGTTCAGAATCAAGATGTTACCATTTACCAACTGATTTACCTCATGAAAAGGATTTCATTGAATGGACACCAAATAAACGTTATGGTGAAATTCAGGTAATCGTCCATTTAATAATCAACAACATTAATTACTCAGATCTTTATGTGCTAATTGTTATAATTTATTCAAAATTTGACAAAACTTCATTTACATGATAAACTAATTGAATCGAGAATCTAATTTATCGTATTTAAAATGGTTCAATTAACCGAATCAGGCCTTAAATTGTTTGAGTCTATTTTCAAATTTAATGGATTAAATTTGATATTCTGAGCCATTAAAAGTAATTTAACTTCCTGATTAAACTTTTTTTTAATTGTGTTTAGTTTTCTTATCCAGCAATTAACAGGAATTACAATTAACTTTCAACTTTCTCTATTAAACCATTAATCAAGTTTCTCAATGAGATGAAATTCTGATTGTTTCTTTCGAGATTAATTAACTAATTTCTTTTTTTTGTTCTCTCTCACCTCAGAATGAATCACTTCGAAGTCGATCTTCGGCCAATAAAACGCTCAAAAGTTACAGAGGATTGAGTGATCTTAGAATAGGTCATTTTGATTGGCAATGGAAAATGCTACGAAATGGACACGGGTCATATTCACCTAACGAAAATGTTACTCGTAGTAAAAAGTATTTGTCTGATTTGTTTTTTTTTCAAATTTCGAAATTCAATTTAATTTCTAATTATCGATCTACTTTTCGTTAGGAAAACTTGTTCCGAAGATGGACCTTCGTTTGACCAATCGCTTGGCGATTCACCTTCGTCGACAAGTAGCCAAAGATTTCCTGAATCTCGAGAAATGATAATCGATGATCATAAGGTAAAGGATTATAATTGATTGATTTTTTCATCTTCTATTATTGATTTGATTTCTAATTTGTTTTCCTATTGAAATTTAGGCCGAAAAAGAGGAAATGGTCAACGGATACTCTTCCGCTTGGACTGGAGGCCCAGCTCAATATCATTTGGCCGACGATTTAATTTCACTCGAACGTCGAAGTCAAGTTTCCAATTGGGGTCGATTACCTTTCTATGACAATTAGAGCCTTTTAATTGTTATTCTGATTCCAATTCCAATTCTGATTAACCATTGAATTCATAATGATTTCAGGATAATTGAATTTTCGGTTAAAAATTAATCGATGATTTAATTTCGTTCAACAATTAATAATTTTCTTTCCATTTTTTGTTACAATCAAATTCATTTTTCCCTCCGAACTTTTTTTGTTTCTCCTTATTTCTAATTAACTAGAAATTAATTTGTTTAATTAATTGTTCCCTTTAATCACCTTTGTATATAAAATTATCCTCACAACAATTAATAATATGATTATCGCTCCTTGTGGAAACATGATAATCTCAAGTAATTAACGACAATTATTAAAAAGATGACATTGTTTTCAATCAATTCTCAACTAATAACATGAGACAATCTAATCCAACATTTGATTACGAGAAATGATTTAAACAATTAACTGAATTGAATGGAGAGAAACAAAAGATTAATTTATAATTAATCAGAATCAGATAAAGACAAATGATCACAATTAAGGATAATCACAACAATCAATTGGTGTGGTGTTGATTTAATCAATTTCAAATGAGTTAATCAACAGAAACTGATTTATAATTAACCTTGAGAAAATTTTTACTTTCCCATTGATTAGTTAAAAGTAATTATGATTTAATATCGTTAATTAAGATAATCTTATTAATTATGATGAAGATACAACAACAATTAGCGATTTCAAATTACAAAATTTACTAAATTGTTGTTTGTATTATTATTTTCAGGCCTTTGATTTGATTGTGAACTTTTTTTTTCATTTTATTAAAACGAGAAAGTAAACAACAATTAAAGAAAAACAATTAACAATTAAAAAGCTAATCAACAAATAGAAAAATTAATCATTAACTTGTTAATCAGTAAAGTGTTTAATTACTAATCACCAAAGAGTTGATTAGAATTAACTGAATCTAAATTAACCGAATAGAGTAAAAATCTTAAAGACTAAATCAGATTAATCGATTTGGAGGCGAAAAGTTAGTTAATTGTTATGATTAATTAACTCGAAAAGAAAAACAAAAAAAAAGGATAAAAACGTTAATCCTTTTTAATCGATAAACTCACTAATCTGTTGATTGGATTTAATAATCCAGTTAGTAAGGGATTAGTGGATTTCGGGTCAAGTTAATCCAAAAAGTTGAACCTTAATCTTTTTTATCGAAAGCTACAAGAAAAAGGCCAATCGAAGGTCATTTTTCCGTCAGTTCGGTTTAAACTTTCATTGGGATCGTTTCTGATTCTCTGGTTACAAATGAACATCCGATCAAATTGACGACAATTAAATCATCAACAATTAACATTCAATTGGTAAGTAAGAGAAAGGACATCTTATCATCCATTTATCTTCCATCATCATCATCATCATCATCTCCATTTCTCTTTCTCTCTCTTTTCCATATGAAGGTTAACATACTTGTTGCTCTCTCTCTCACTTACTCTCTCAGTTTCTCATTGACTCTCACTTTAATCTCAGTAATAGTAACTCCCGCTCTCTCTCACTCTCGCAATTAACTTTCTCTCTCTCTCTGATTAACCTTTTTTTTTAATTGTTTCTTCTCAACTTTGACACTGGTTAATGTCGATTAAATCAAATTTAATTCGAAATTAACCAGAGTCCAGTGTTGGTCATCGAATAGAATTTAAATTTTTTCTTTTTCTCAACAATTCACCTCATGAGTTTTTCTCTTTTGTTTACATTTTGTTTTCTTTTTGAGTTGCACGTTTTTCTTTACTCTTTTGTCTCTAAATCATTTTCTCTGTGATTTTCTCTTCTTTGTTTACTTGTTCCTCTCTTGTAAATTGTGTTCCATTCCAAACTATTCCAAATTCTGAATGCCTGAATTAACAAGGAATCAACAATTCTTTCTCCTTCAACCACCACCACACCACCCACACCACCACCACCACCAACAACAACAATTCCAATCACAATTGAAAAGCAATTCTAATCACCAAAATCTTAACTATTTTCTTCCCTTTCAATTAAATTCTTCCACTTGTTTAGCTAATCAACAACAAGGAAAGCAACAATATTGGTCCCACCAGTGGAATAATACTAATCCCTCCATCGATTGCTCTTCCTTCACCACAACCACAACCACCTCTTCTACATCATCATCATCATCAACACCAACAACAACAACAACAACAAAACCACTAACCAATTATTCAACCCTTGAAAACTATTCATCATCTTCCTCATCTTCTTCTTCCTCCTCTTCCTCCTGTTGTTCCTCCTGTTGTCCATCACCCAAACCACCATCAACAATGAACATCTATCCAGTTATGAGTAATTTCAATTACTTTAACTTTGATTACCAAACCGATTGTGATCTAATTTGTGTCATAGATTTTGAGGCAACGTGTGATAATTATGGTGGACGTCGTCCACCTAATGATGCAATCATGGAGATTATTGAGTTTCCAGCATTCATAGTTGATACAAGAACGAGATCAGTGGTGGGTTTTGATTCATTTTTCTTTAAAATTCTTGACCATCAGCTGATCAACTGATTTACCTACGGTTCCTTTTTGCTCATTTGATTCTAATCTTTTGTCTTTTTTTTCCCAATTATATTTAGATTACTACATTCCATGAGTATGTACGTCCAGTAATTAATCCAAAATTAACCTACTTTTGCACCCAATTAACTGGTATCACCCAACACATGGTTGATCAGGCTGATATATTTCCAAGAGTATTGGAAAGATTTGAGAAATTAGTTGCCAATTTAATGAGAGAAAGATGTTACAGTTCATTTGCCATTGCCACCGATGGGTAAGTTTACCTTTTACACTTTAACCTCTTGCAAAATGTTAAACCAGTGAAAATATCACATGTTATTGTTTTCCTTTAAGTTTTAACAATGACAATTATCATCATCATAATCGTCTAATTGATTGTCATTAAACTGTAATTATATTCCCTCAAAATTAACCATAAAAGTAAACAATTTGAATCATGTTTTCATTGTTTTCATAACAAGAACACATGAGATCAGATGATGATGATGATGATCATTATTATTATTATCATCGATCTCTAGAGATGGTAAATGAGGATAACGGTTTTGATGATGATTTGTTATTGTTAATAACTTGAGAACTAACAACAAACAGGTTTAATCATTTATGTGTCATTAATTTATTAATTGTCTTTCCAATTGATTACCATTTTTCTAGCCCATGGGATATTGCTCACTTTTTTGCTCGTCAATGTCAAATTCATGGACTTGAGTTTCCTGGTTATGCTAAACGTTGGATTAACCTTAAACGCGTCTATGCTGATTGTTATCAAGTTAATCCGGTAATTAATCCAATTTACAAAATGATTCCCTACCTGATAGCGAATACACAAATTAAATCCTTGATTATAATTAACTAATCATCCAAGTGTTCATACAAAATTATCCCCAAACCCTTTGATTACCCTGACGATGATGGTGTTTGTATTTTTATATGAATATGATTTTTACCTTGATTCATTTATCTCTCTCTCTCTCTCAAGGTTATCAAACCTTTTTACTTTTTTTTTGTTTACTTTAATTGATCGTTTTGCAGTTTTAAATCAATCAGCAATTTACTAATTGTTTAATTTTGTTTTGTCCATGATAATTACTACAGATATGCCTTGATAATATGCTCAATTCTCTTGGAATCCGTTTTGATGGTCGACGTCATTCTGGTTATTATGATGCTCTTCATATAACAAAATTATTATTGAAATTATTTCATGATGGTGCGATTCTCACTCGAAATGAAATGCTCTCATGGGATACGGTGGGCCGTAAATGCTGGGGAAATTTGGACTGTGGTTACATTCCCAATGAACCAATGTACGCAATCCGATATATATGATTTTGGAACTAAATCGTTAATCAATAGTAACAACTAATAACAAGTGTGTGGATAAAGCTGCTAATCCATTTTGGATTAATGTTTTTTTTTCTTCCTTTTTTTAAATTTTTCCAACAATAAGTCATGTTTTTTTTGTCACCATATACAAATCTCTCCCAAAACTCTCTCTCTCTCTCTCTCTCTCTCTCTCTGCCTCTCTGTTTCTCTGTCTCTCTATTAATCCCTCAAAGTTAATGTGTGAAAATCAATCAACTCTTAATTACTATCCCAAGAGTAAATTTTGATTGATTAATCCCTATGATCTTGCTCCTTATATATTTACAAATTGTATCCCATATTTATATACATAATTCATATACCAAAAGAAACTCAGTTATATATATAAAGAAAAGTTTTGCTAATCCAAATTTCGTTTTTTACTGTAAATCCAATTGCAAATTATATAAGATTTTCACTGTGATTAATCCCGAACAATTAACAAATTGATCTCATCGAAAATGGTATTCAAACATATTTTCTATGTGTATTTAAATATGAAATTGAAGCAAATTAAATGTCTCACAATTAACTGAACACTGATCATTTCTGGAAACTTTTTTCTTTCCTGATTAATTGAGTTTTGTTTTGAATTAATGATTAACTTCATAAAGGGCTAATTATCGAGGTTTAATTGTTGTTGGGCTTTAAATTGACTTGAGTTTAATGTATTGAACTGTAATTAATTTTAGTGATCGTAATTTGTTTAATTAATTGCGGGGTAAATGATTTACTGATCTTGTTGATCTTGTTAAAAGTCAACAATGTTTAATTAACTTGCTAATTGTGTTCCTGTTTAAATAGTAGTCTCTTTTTTTTTCGTCATTGATTACTGAGTAATTAACTTGATTATAATACAAGTATCAAAAAGTAAATCAACTTGATTGTTGTGAAAATTTTGCTCTCACGAAAAATGATTAAATCCAATAATATGCAACTTTACAAACGATTGATAATTGTACTAATTATCTTATTGATTATTTTATTATTGTATCTTTTTTATATTCCATTGATTAAAAATGGTCAACAATTAACGCAAAAATTAACATCATCACCATCATCATCTGAACAATTAGTTGATGATTTAGGTAAGAAGACGTTAGTTGGGTTGAAAGTGATTCTCTTATGGTCAGGGTCGCAAAATTTTCAATTGCCCTGCGGCTGTTATGTTACCAGTAATCGAGAATTGTACAAATCATCAGCTGATACAATTCTTTTCGATTGGAAACAATTACTTGTGAATGAGAATCGATCGATTCCTGGGATAAAAAGACCAGGACAAACATGGATTTGGTACAATCGTGAACCTCCAAGTACAAGTTTCGTCGATTTGGACATTGACCCTTATTGGTTAAAATCGATAGAAAATTTGTTCGATTGTTGGATTAGCTATCGAAATGATTCCGATTTCGTTCATCATCGGTTTGATATTGTTCCAAGTTCATCATCAATTTCTTCATCTTCTTTAGCCAATTCAAAGAAACAAAAACGACGGAAAATGTCACTAACCAATAAGAAGCGAAATGTGGCCTGGTTTGTGAGCCATTGTAACGCTGAGAGCGGTCGAGATGATTTCGCTAAACAATTAGCGAAATTCATTGATATCGATATTTATGGTGATTGTGGTGCTTTCAAATGCTCCAAGATTAATCCTGATCTATGTTATCAAATGGTCGAAGACGATTATAAGTTTTATCTTTCCTTTGAGAATTCAATTTGTCGCGATTATGTGACTGAACGATTGAGCAACGTTCTCAAATATAATATCGTTCCAATTGTTTTCGGTGGATTCAATTATTCATCTCTACTTCCTCCTGATTCCTTTATCAATGCCTTTGACTTTGATTCTCCAAGTAAATTGTCCGATTATCTAAAACTAGTGGCCAACAATCAAACAGCATATAATCAATATTTCAATTGGAAAAGCAAATATCAAGTAGTTGAGAAACCATTTAATTCAGTTCTTTGTGATATTTGTGATTCCATGAAAGTTCAGCTTCATGATGAGCCAATTTGTCACCATGATAATAATAAAACTCTTACCAATTGGTATTTCAATGAAGCTAATTGTTTCCAATGGGATCCTAATATGAAACTGATTCCTGTTGATTATAAATTATAAAACAATTACCATTACAATTTCATACTAATCATTTTAAATCATATCAATCATACTTACCAATTTAATTTGTATGCATGTAAACACAATCAAGAATCAATCAATCAATATAAATCAATGACATTGTAAGAGAGACAAAATTTTGTTTGTTAATTTAAAAATCCATTTGATTATAATCATCAAGTTTAATTACCATTGTTGTAAAGGATTATTAACCAATCGATTTAATTATTTATTGTCTAAAGATGATAAACCAATTTAATGGATTGACGTTCAATTATGAGCTTGTTAATTGTTTATATTCACTGGCGTTGGAGTTAAATTTGATTGTTGAATGTCAATGTTACCGGTTATTGGTGATAATCCATCAGATCAATTAGATAATTCTGATCGATTGTTACAATCAAATGAGACAATACGAGATGTTGATCCTGCTGATAAATGGATTCTCGTTTCGTTGATTGCTCTGTTTGTTTTGCTTTTCATTTTCACCCCAGAAACACCGACACAATGGGAAATGGACTCAGTTGTTTTCGTTTTAGGTGTTGCGATTTCCAATGATTCTCGAACTATTTTGCTCTGGAATCCACCGGAAATAGATTATGATTATGATCAATTGTCCATCGATTGTGGTTGTCTAATTACAGCGAATCGTAGTTATCTTGATAAGGCTCGGTTTGTAATCTTCCATTGGTCATCCTTGGATAGATTACCGGTCATTAAAAGACCCAATCAATTGTGGATTTGGGTTAATACGTTAACACCAGATGAAAGTGATTATAATTCAGTGTTAATCTTTCAACAGAAATACTTTGATTGTTGGTCAACTTGCCGATTTGATTCTGATTTCATTATCTCTCCATGGTTACATTGGTCTCTAATTGACCAGAGTGTAGGCCAGAATAAACGACAAATCTCTGTAAAAGAAAGTCCGATTATTTGGTTCAATAATTGTCCATTCGATCATCGATTCGATCAATTCGTTTTGTCACTTCGCAAATTTGTTCCAATTCATGTTTACAATGAGACGAATCTTCAATCGTTCAGTAAATCACAATTCACCAAGAAAATTTTACCGAATTACAAATATTACCTGTTAACAGATAATTCAGTTTGTAGCAATTTAATTATCAAGAAGATCTTGTTTAATTATGGACTTAATTTAATTCCGTTGATTCCAAGAGGTTTGAAAATTATCAGCTCGAAATTGGGTCAATATCATTTTAATGGCTCTTTTGTTGATGCCAATCATTTTCCAACCGATGAGAAATTAGCTAATCACTTGAAACAATTGCAAAACAATTTAACGATTAACAATCAACCCACCAAATGGACAATTGACCAATTGAATCAACTAAATCAAGTTAATTTTTTTAAATTCTTACACAATGTTTGCTCATCTCTTAAATTACCTGATGGATTAACAGGTAAATGTAAACATAGAAAAATTAAATTGATGAGTTGGTATTACAATCAAGATTATTGTAATTCAAATACCACAAATATTATTCACAATTAAATTACAAGTTGATTATATACTTTTTTAATTAGATTAATGTGACGATAGCAAAAAAAATTAAGATAACAAAGTAACTCTACTTTTCCCTCCAATTAAACAATAGTTCATGGACTGTACTCTCTTATTTTACGAATGTAACAATTTAAATGGTTACAATTAATTTCGTTTACAATTAAATTAACAATTAAACCAGTCAATCCTTTTCCTTTTCTTCACAGTTTCATTTGTTTCTTTTTTTCTCATCATCTTTACAAAAATTAAATTTTCATGGATTTAACTCCAATCCCTCGTTGTCATTGAAATAATAATTATTGGTCATTATTATTGTTACTGGTCATCGTATCAATCCAATTTGTTTCCGTTTCCTTTGTTTGTTTTTGACCAGAACAAGAAAAAAATACACATCTAATCACTATTATTCATTATTATTATTATTGTTATTATTGTTCAATCTTGGATACAACAACTAATCAAATAAAAAATAATAATCCATGAGAAATAAATCCAAAGCCAAAACACTGATTTACTTCACGAATTTTGTAAACACAATCAGCTAATCATATATATATATAGTAATTTATATATATATTGTTAAAATCCCTTGAAGAATAAGTTAATTTTTTTCGTTTTTCATTTGTAAATATCATGTAAATCACTTCATCACATGAACAATAATCAATAATAATAATAATTATATAAATTAAATAAAACATGTCAATCAATCAGTCAATCAAAAGTTTCTTGTTGGTGGTTGCTTGATGATCGGGTGGTTTTGTTGATTTTGTTTGGCAGTAAAGAATAGAGTTTGTAGTTAACAATTTAATTGTTGTATAATTTGGAGATGAAGAAATGAAGAAGAAAAAAAAACTGGCCAATTAGTTAATCACATATCTTGAGCTTTTTCCGATGGAACTACAACAAACAATTTCTGTAATGTTATTGTTATTTTATCTAAATTAAGAGAAGAGAGAGAGAGAAAGAAAAGATACAATTAGTATAAATGAATCAACAATTAGGAGGTAAAAATGATCATTGTCATTTAGTTGATTATAACAATTTACTGATTAATGAAATTCGTGTTCATGTTTCTATGCTTCAAGATAAAAAAAAAGTTATAAGAAATAGAAAATTTCTAAAGAGATTGAAAAATCGTGTTGGTGGACAGACATGAGACGAACTGATTTTCATTGAACTTACAAATGAATTTCTGGAAAAATAATGGTTTATTTTTCCAGGCAATGAACACCAAGTAGACAGGTACACCCGATAAAATCATGATAAGACCAAAACCAGTGGATACTGGATCTTCAATTATTGGTACAACTATTATGAAAATGGTTGCTGCAATGTAGATCAATGGCCAGATTAATGGGACTTTGATGGGTCGAGCAAGATCAGGTCGCTTCCACCTTAAATAGGGAACACAAACAACAGCTAATCCAATTGCAAGCCAAGTAGAGAAACCAACATAATCCATTAGGGCGTAAATGTCTTTAAATAAAAGGTAAACCAATGAAAGTAAACACATTGCTATCACAGCGGGAACCGGTGTATGGTGTTTAATTTGAATCATGGATAATAATTGAGGCATTTGATTATATTCAGCGCCTGAATAGAATAACCTGTAAATGAGAAGGTGAGAAAAGAAAGTCAATCAGAATATTATTTCAAACAGAATAATAATATTTGAATCTTCAATCAGATAACCAAAGGTGAGAGGAAAAAGTATTTCCGATCCTCATGTAAACACTCAAAGAGTTTTTTTCTTCTGAATATTCATTAGTGTTATTATAAATTCACATAAATTGAGAACTAAATTAAGTCAAACTTTTCCACCCACAATATTGGTTATCTAATTTTTGTGAGGCCAAAATTTTAGATACAAAACCTTGAAGATGTAAAGAGAATCCCGTTGACTCCACCAAAGGTTGACATCGCTACGAAAATTGGAATTGTGTAGGCTAAACCAACCCATACTTTCTCCGCATAAGTCTACATAAAGAAAGAAATTAATTAATTTCTAATGATTAAGATCGTTGGAAAAGTAATGGTTAAGGTAAGAAATTAAATCAATCAACGTACCACAGCAACAGCATCAGAGGCCAATAGTTCACCAACGGATAGAGTTGAATGAAAAGCGATAATAGTCAGAACGTAAACAATAGTAACCAAAATGCATGAGATGTAAATTGCTTTTGGAAGATTCCTTTAATCATTTGAGGAAAATATGAAACAATTAGTTTTTAAGGTGTAAATGAAAAAATAAAAATAAAATTAACATTAATCATTAATCATTAATCAAAAAGTCTAACAATTAACTCTCTGAGTACATTGACAAGCTAATGGGTAATTTTCAATTTCTTGTGTTTAACTTTTAAACGATCATCGTTTTTAATTGTTTTTTGTAAAGGAAAAATGTTAATTCATTTTCCAATTAACTGATTCAGTTAATTGTTTCAACCATTTAACTAGTGTAATCATAATGGAGGTAATAATGATGAAAATACATCGAAAGTACAAGTTAATTGTGTATCATTTAGAATCGGCAAACATTTAACTCTCTATCTTTCTCTCTGTGTAATTAAGTAAATTGTCTGGTAGATTTAAATAATGATGATGCAAGTGATTGATTAAGTTTAATCATCAATGTTTTTCTTAATTCATTCGTTGATTAAGAAATGGTTATATAATTGACTGTTGGTCTGGATGATGATTAGGATTTTGATTGTCTGTGTCTATATTTTAATCATAACTTGTGATCATAATTTAATCATGAGATTTGAGTGGGTGTTCTGACAATTAATACCTTAATAAATCAATGGTGATGATGATTTAACAAAAATATTAACAATCGTAAAAAGTTAATGATAATGGTTAAGACTTAATTTTGTATCGTAATTGTCAAAGTTAAATTTACTCATGGACACAGACATGGAGCCACAATTGATACATTTGATTTAATTTGTGTAGGTTTGATGAAGAAACAATTAACAATTAATATAAATCAGGCTTCAACAATTAAGGTTAGGCCTGTGATTATTTAATACAAAAAAAAACCTTGATAGAATTAATCTAATCGTAAAGTTAATTAATGTTACATGTAATCAGTGATGTTACTCAAATCAAGATACATTTGATTCATAAATCCTGATCAGGGTAAACAATTAAGTGAAATTGAAAGTATAGATTAACAATTACAATTAATCCGATAAAAATATTGAATAATTTATTACATAAACAAAGAATTAAAAGATTAAAGAGAAATATAAATGAAACAATTAACTAATAATTGATCAGGTTATGAAAATTGTTGATTAAATTGTTCATGAGATTTTCATGAGAAAAACAATTTAAATATTTTCCCTGTAATTGTCTAACTAATATGACAATGATACTGTTGGTTTCAACAATTAAGTTCAATTATTGACAATTCAAATTTATTATTAATAACAACGTTAAAAAGTCTTAATTTTAATCTACTAGACAACGAATTTAAAACAATTTGAATTAAATTGAAACAGAGAAAACAAATTGTTTCATTTTATAGATTTCAATGTTAGTCTTGAAGAGCAACAGTTGATTCCAATGGTACAGAGTAAATCAATTCAATTGTTCATGAAGTTATCATGAACTAACTTGAGTAACAATAGGAAAAAAAGGTCTAAATTCAATTTCATCTGAATTGCTCAGGCATCAGGAATATGATCAAACCATAATTTGGCTCATTATAAGATATCATCTCTTCAAGTGTCATCAACAAGTTCCGTTGATAATCATGATAGATTCAGGATGAATTGTTATCACTTCAATTCAGAAAACTCAAACTCAATCGATAATCAATATAATTGAATAAGAAAGTTATAAATACCATGGTAACTGGTTACTGAGAATTTATTGATTACTTTTGATTGTGTCTTCTTTTTGCTATTGACAGTTTGTTACAATAGGGAAAGAGGTTAACCTTTTGAACATTTATTCAAATTAGATGATGATTAAGTTGAGATTATCATAATCAAATATCAATTCTAATGTCAAAACAATTAACAACACTCTTGTCTAAAATGTAGCAATTAAGCTTGGTTATTATTATTATCAGATGTACCTGAATATTAAATGTTACGAAAAGGTTGATATTTTCATGTCTCTGAATAAAGATTATCATTTGATTGGTAAAAGTAACAATTAAGATTCTTGATATTATTTAATGATTAATATTATCAACAATTCCCTTGTTAATCAATCAAATTATTAATATTAATAGTATGATATTGACACTCTAACCTTAAATAACAGAATCCCCGAATCGAGGGGATCTTAATTATCCACTTAATCATCAACAATTAACATCATCATTCAAAAGTAATCAACATGTTGTTTACTTGTTAATAACAAAAATCTTACCAATAATTAAGGTAAAAAATTGTGGTAACAATTTAGTTTGGATTATGTTGATTACTTTTGATTGATAACTAGTCTTGTTTACAATGTTGATACAAAAGTAAGAAGTTAATTAACTATTGACAAGTTTACTGATTAACTAATTTTTTTTATCAAAGATGAGGCTCTTATATGCTAACTATCATTAACAGAAACTAATCATTTCCAATCAATTGATTGTCAAAAATTAAGGTAGTTTAAAGTTAAATTGGTTTTTCTTAATCACAGAATTATTTTGAGTGTCAGTTAATTTAAATGTATCAGTTTGGTAAAACCATTGGATTGATGTTTAGTTAATAACATCGAGAGTTAATTACTCACATTTTTAAATTGTTACAACAGGTTGATTGTTATCAATTTAATCTCATTATCAGATATGTGTGTTAATCTGATAATTGTTGTTATCAAATCGACAATTAATCAATTCAATACGTGTTATATTAATGAGTGAGTTTAAGAAAAAGTAAGAGAGTAAAAAGTTTCAAATTGCTGATGATTAATTAAATTGATCAGCAATTTGAATCAATAATTAACCAACCTTGGAGTGTGAATCTTTTAAAAGAAACTCTTGATATTAGCTAATTGTTGCAATTATGATTAACGATTATAAATGATTGAAAAATATAGTAGAAAAAGTTTCCATGTTAAATCACTCGAATGATTTAATCTAATCAAACCTCTTAATTATAATCAACTGTTAAAAGTAAATAATTATCACAATTAGATATCGTAAGGTAATCAATAAAAGTTGAAGTGATCGGCACAATTGAAGACACGAATTAGTTAATTAGTAAAACTGAATATAATGTTATTAATATAGTTAATTGTTATGAAAGAAAAATATTAATAACAATTAAGACTTTTAAAGGATAACAAAATAAATATGATGATTAAATCAACAGTAAATAAACAAATTGAAAAACTAAATCATCTTGATAGTTGGAGGTTCAATCTATTGAACGTAAACTAATCAAAAAGTTAACAATCAACAAGAAGCTTCTGTAACCTTAATAAATACATATAGACAATCAATACAATTAATTAGGTAATTTTTAGGTTAATTGAATAATTAACAATTAATATTTAAATGTTTGCTCTTGAGTTCATCAAGGGTTAGTAAATAGAAATTGATTCTTTGTCAATTTGATGTTGAACTATTGAGGATAAATAATGAATGAGTATTAATTTTGACTGAGAAAACAAATCAACACAAAGTTAATTGTCAGGATTTATGATTGTAAGCCCAGAATAGTTGATTGGACAATTGTTAGTAGTAATACAATGTAATTTGTTTGTTTTTTTACCAATAAAAAGTATTTACAATTAACAAGAGGGAATAGAAAGTGAGAGTTAATTGTTAGAAAATGATAATTATGGTAATAAAAATGATTTAAATTGGAACTTACTTGTGAGGCTCCTTAAGCTCTTCAATGACAAAATTAAGATAATTCCTGGTGGAGTGACGATTATGATGATATTTACAGAGGAAGAAAAATAAAAACAAAAGGAAATGAATTAGTTTTGGAGGAAAAGACACTAAGGGAGATAAAGAGAGAGAGAGAGAGAGAGAGTGTGTGTGTAGGGTGGATGGAGGAAGAATAGAAAAAGATATCAGGCTAATGGATAAAACTAAATATTAACTAGAGAATGAAATTTGTGGAATAAAATTGACAACATGAAAAAAGGAAAAAGTAATAATCCTCTTCCATAATTGTTGTCAATTTGAGTTGATGATTTAATGGTAACCTTTTTGGTTTACATTAATCAACCAACACATAGAATGGGGGGGAAGCTAATGATTAAATCAATTCTATTCTATGGAATGATATTTTTGCTTCTCTTTTGTGTATTTTAGTCTGTAAAGGAAAAGGTAAACTGATAAGGAAAAAGTGTTAAGGCCTAGATGTTTGTGGCTTTTTATAGAAAAAAAATGTAAATATTATTGGATAAGAAAATAGAATAGAAAATTGATTTAATCACTTGCTCACTTTTCCTTTCCTTTCTTCTCTTTATCTTCTATGGGTTTATTAACCATTAACAGGAGAGAGAGAAAGAGGGAAAGATAAAGAGATACACAATATTCACCATGTTGGATAATAATAGTAACATGAAAAAAGGTTTTCAATCGATAACTTTTGGGTAGAACTGAATAAATAGACAATTAACTTCCATAGGCCTTTGAGTTTTGTTGTTGTTTCTTTTGCAGAAAATGTAACATTAGACTTGTTAAAGAGGAAACGGAACAAAGGTAAAAATAATTCATAGATTTAAACGATAATCATGATGGAAATAAGCTGATTAACCCAAGTTAATGTAGAAAAAGAGAAACAAAAAAAAACCAATAAAATTAATAAATTAACCAAATTGGTGGAAAGAAAAATTCTAATTACGATTAACCTTTGACAAAATTTTCTATTCTTTTTTCCTATTATCTTATAAATCTCAATAGATGGCGATCTTTGTTTTCGATCTTTTCTCATATGTTGAATTGATTGTTTATTAACATGTTTTCTTTTTTTTTTAATTAATTGATTAATATTGGAATTTGAATCAACTTATTTGTGAAAAAGTTCGTATACAAGTGTTGGTAGAACAACTTGACACCAAGTAAGTATAAAAAAAAAAAACAACAAAACAAACAAAATAGGTAGGACCGCATGGTTCTTATCTTATGATTTATAACATTGAACGTTTAGTTCATAATTTAAAAATTGAACGTTTAGTTCGTAATTTAAAAATTGTTCCATTATGGAAAACTTCTTTATTAATTGAATACCCAATTTTTTTCTCTTTCCTATTTATCTGAATATGTAATTTTGGCCTCAGGGGCACTTCGAGATTTTTGTAATCCATGATCCTTTCCCTCCTTTTTTTCCCCTCTCCCTTGTACGGTTGTCACTACCGGAAACGATGAATTTTAATTCATCGAAGCCTCCCCTGAGGCCGCTGTTGAAGCTTAAATAAACTTGAACATTGAACTCTTTTGATTTTATTTTTTTCGCTTCTTTTTTAATTGTTGGGGTTTTGTTTTGTTTCTTTTCTATTCTTTGGTTAATTGTTCTACTTACCATCCATTGTAGGCAAATAGTCCCGAATAGAATGATGCTGCTATTTTCGTTATTTTGGTCTCTGAATTGTCAAAGTTGAAATGTTCTGTATGACCAAGTGATATTTGATATATTCCCGTTCCGATGATCAATGCTAATGCCAATAGTTTACCGTAGGTGAAAAAATCTTGTACTCGTGTGGACCATTTAACATCCCAACAATTAACGAATGTAAGTAGACCTAATTGAGTTGGTTAAGAGGAATAGAGAGAGAATATTTTGTAATATGTATTAGGTGTATTCTCAATTGTTCTTAATGGTGATGATTTGTTGATTGTCTCAAGTGTCTTAATAATCTCTTCTTATTTTGTTTCTTTTTCTCTCTGTATTTTTCTTCATCTTAATTTTTTTTTCTTCTTCTCTTCTCTGTTTAGCTTACAATACAGAATTAATGGTTTACAAATAAATTGTTTAATCTTTCCCATGTTCAGGATTTTCTAAAGTTAGATTTGGATAAAGATGCTGAGGAGAAAAAAAATAACGGAAATTATGATGATGGTGAGATGAGATGAAGAGAAATAGACAAGCCACGTTTTTCTCGTCTCTCTCTCTCTCTTTCTCTGTTGATTCTTCATTCATTTTCATCACGAGATTTTACTTTTCTAGGTTTAACTAGACTCGAAATCTCTGAATGAGAAGAGAGAGAGAGAGAGAGACACACACATATACACTCATAAGTCTTTGGCTTTTCATTCATTTTCCTGGTTCCTCTAATTATAACCTAAGCCATCAACGATCATTAACATTTTGGTGTTTGAAGAGAGACAGAGACATACGATTCACGGAAGTAACTGGAACAGCCCATTCGATGGATATAACAACTTAGTGGGCTGAGTTATATCATTTGAACATTTTGTCGGTGACACTTACCAATACAAACTACAGCAAGGTAACTAGTTGCTGCATCCGGTGGATCACAATCGGGGAATACTGGTTTTAATATATAGATGGCAAAGGTTCGAGCTACGATCGCTTGTGAACAAGGTCTCACGATGATACATTCGACCCATAGACGAAGGAAGCCCATAAAAGAACCAAATGATTCCATAATGTAAGCATAATCAGCACCACTTTTGGTTATCATGCAACCCAATTCAGCGAAACAGTAGGCACCAATTAATGAATAGATTCCACATGAAGCCCAAACCACCAGCGATAAACCAACGGAACCAGTTGATTTTAGGACACCTTTGGGAGAGACAAATATTCCCGAACCGATGATACTACCAACTATAACTGTACACCCATTGAGAAGTGACATTTTAGGTTTAAGGCAGACAATATCATCGGACATTTTGTTTGACCCTTTAGCATTTAAAGGTTCATTATCAGGTGAGTTTTTGATTCCCTCTTCGACATTATCCGCCGTGGGTATTGGACTGTATTCCTTAATTTCACCCGACATGTTTGATTCCGTTAATATGGATTAATTGTTATTTCTTGTTAAATTAAGAAATTATTTTAATTGTTCTTGTAACACTAAAGTAATGATAATGATAATGTTGTTGTTGTTGTTTGTTGATTTTAATTTTCTTCTCTTAATTGTAACAAAGGAGAGAGATAGAGATAGTGTTTGATATTTGGTTAATTAGAGAGAAACAGTTAAGATGATCAGGGAGACACACAATTAAATTAATTAGATTTTATGTGTAATCAATTGAGGAATGATGAAGTCAAGAATGAAGAATAGTTGTTTTGGTTAATTTGATTGTTGATAATTTAACAAGACACAATTGATTAACGTTGTTCGATCTATTTACTTGCATGATAAGAAAAAGAAAATTTAATTATTTTAATTGTTGATTCCTTGTTTTCTTATGATGATTTTTTTTCTTCCACAGTTTTTTGTTTCTGTTGTTTCTTTTTCTATGGGTTTTCGATACACACTCACCATTGGTGAATGAACATTGATGATAAATGAGCCAACATGGATTCGCAGTGAGAAAAACAAGGAAAAGGAAGAAGATGAAAAAGGAGCGAAGATGGTGATGATCAAGCAGACGAAGGAGACGAAGATGATGATGATGATACAACAAAGCTTCAAAACACAGAGCAAAAGTAAAGTCAAATCAAGAGGAAAGAGATGAGAGAGAGAGTGTGTGTGAGAGAGAGAGGGAGAAAAGGATGATGTAAAGTGAGAGGATGATGAAAAGAGAGAGAGAGAGATTATTAGACAGAAAGATAGACAGTCAGAGAGAAAGTAACTCCAGGCAGACTCAGAACTTTGAGCTTCTTCTGGGTAAGGTAAGTTTCAAGAGGAATCAGACAGACTCAATTAGATTCTTTAATTTTTTTACTCTATTGAGAGAGAGAGATGATGATGATAATGACTCGAATTATGATGAGGATGATGAAGAGTAAGGTGTGTGTTTAATTGTATCTTTAAGTTCAATCAACAACAAGAGTCATGATGATAATCGATAGAAATCATTAAAATGACGAAACAATTAATACTCAGAATAATCTTTTAATTCTGAATCTTTTTTTTCTCTCTTTTTTCTTCACTTTCTTATTTCTTACAGAATTCAAAGTCAGACGGAAGATATTTAATCCAATGGAGAGAATGGATGACAAAATTGTTACATGATGATGATGACGAATGTTAGAATTTCCTCTCTCGAAATTCACCTTTCCCTTTTTACTTTCTATTTCCATCAGCGAAGCTACTAAATTGTCGCTTCGTTTCTTGCCTTCGCCTTCCTCTCCATTCGTTCATCCTCATCTTCGTCTTATCATCATCTTTATCATCCTCATCTTTTTTAGCTTATCAAACTTCCTACACTTTTTTTCTGTCACATTTCTTGTTTTCTGTCTATGTGACAATTTTTTCTCTCTCTCTCTCTCTCTGAGAAAAGAGAAAAGATTAATTTGATTAATTTTCCTCAGTTTTTTTCTTCTTTTTAATTTGATTCCCTATTAGTTAATTTCTTAACCAACATTAATTACATTGGACGATCATTGGTCAGGTTCGGTGATACAATTATAATTGGATATACTTTAAATTGTCAAATCATTTAATCATTTTCACCTTGGATCAACTTTACTTTGGGCTGTCATTGATTTTTGTTTTTTTTCATTCTCTGTTAATTGTTAACTATTAACAACAACCAGCAATTAATTTTTCCATCATAATTTTTATTATCTCTTGTGTTGGACTGATTTAGTTAATCACTTATTCAATTAATCAATTTCATTAGCCTTGAATTTTTGGACTGTCTTGTTTTGTTTTTGTTGTTTTTTTTTTTGCAATTTTAAAAAATTTAGTTTTCCAATTTCAGATAATCAAACAATTAACTATTGAAAGTGTTTCAATTTCAACTTGTTGATCAACAATCAACAATTTTTGATCAATATTCATCAATATTTCTCTTGACAGCTAATCAAATTAAATCAACGGCTAATTAACTTACCATCCCTTTTTTATTTTGAAAAGTAAACATCATCACAAAGGTAAATTGTTATTCTAACAATTAAAAAGATACCAAATTAATGGGAAATTTTTGTTAATGGTTTTCTTTTCATATCTTTCCAACTAATCATAAACTTTTACTATTTTCATTACAATGATGAAAAACATGATTGTTTAATTTACCACCATCAGAGTAAACAATTAATTCAATTTTATCTATTAATTAGTTAATCCTCTCCAACATCTCATCATCTCATCATTTCAGTTGATTGTTTGATGATTTTAATTGTTTAATCATTTTTTTCTCTCTCTTCCTGATTTCTGACCATTCAAACTTTCACCAAACATAATTACAAGTGAAAATATTTGTGAACAATCACCTTCCTGTAATTGGATATTAAAGTTAATTAATTTTTCTGTTAATTAACAAAAAAAGATTGAGTTGTTTTCTAGTTAACTGTTGATTCCTTTGTATCTGTTGTTACTTTATTGGCGAAATTAAATTTTTAATTCAACTCCATCGAATATTAACCTTTTTTAATTGCTTGGAATGAAAGTTTGCAGAAAAAGAGAAAAGAGTTTTAATTAGATGAACAATTAAGATTTTCTAATTTAATTTCGTAAGAATCTCGATGTATCGATGTATCGATTCTCTTTTGGCGCCAATCGAAAAATTTTCAATTCTTTTCTTTTGCTTTTTCATTTTCTCTTCTCAATATGTTTACTTTTCCTCATTAATTGTTTCCATTCTAATTAAATGATTAATTGATTTGATTTTTAATTCTTTGAGTCATTTAATTTATGGTCTATTCACTAAGCTAATTTCGTTGTTGTTTTCGTTTGAATTCATTGGCCATGGTTTGATTTTCTTTTTGTTTTCTTTTTGTTTTCTCTTTTTTTTCTTTGGTCTTGTTTTTTTTTCTCAATATGGAAAAGAATCAAAATAATTCAATGGATCCGACAATTGATTTTCATCCAACACCATATAAATTGTGTTTAACTTTATTGGCTACTTGTTTTACTGATCGTAAAGTTGAGCTAACATATCGTGAGATTGGACGATTTTGTATCATCATAATGAAACTTATCCATGGTTTGGAACTTAGTTATTCACAATTGAGATCATTTCTACTTAAATCTGGTTTGAGTAAAATGATTTTACAATTGTTTGAAGAGAGGATGGTTAATTTGGTTAACGAAGATGTTGGATCGATAATTGACTTAATCGCCAAAAGCAAACCATACATTTCAACTGGGTCAAATCTTACCCATAGTTACACATTAGGAATAAACAAATCCTCCATATTGGGACTATTTCTAAGGAAAATGGCCATTTTTTTTGATCGATTAGATTTCATGAAAATTGTCCAGCTTTACGAATCCCTACAATTATACTATAAAGAAGGTCAAAAAAAGGATATGACCGATCCTGGCCATGGAGAGTTACGATATAAGTGTATTAATCCAAGTAAACAGATCAATTTAATCCAGATTAATGAGAAACAAGCACTTTCACCTCTCGAATTGGTTAAGCTGATACAAAGTTGTTATCCATCTGGAAGACCCAATCCAACACAGTTAAAGAATCTTAAATCAACTTATTTCCTTCAATACTTGAATTATCTTCGTCTAAATGAATATTCAGCAGCTCAAGATTTTCTTTTCGCCTATTTTGATGGTTATGTTGATCAGGAAACCCGATGTTGGGCTGCTCTTAATCAAGCAATGTTTCACCTTCACTTTAATCGTTACCGATTGGCAATGGAAAGTGTCAAAGAATGTATTTCAAGTGCTCAAGAGGCGAACGATGAAAGATGCATGGAATTTGCCTTCCTTTTAATTGCTAAGATAATCATAAATGAGAAAAATCCGTCCTACACCGAAGAAGATATAATCCGATTTCTTCATCATCTTCAAACTCGAGCAACCGAATTAGATTTACATCATCTTTCAGCGATTGCTTGTCTTCATCTTGAAAGTCTTATTGGTCCAATGGCGGAATACGAGAGAAATAGCCGACCCGATGGTACAGCTAATCCTGAACTTTTAGCTGTTAAACATTCATTACCAGAGATATTGATGATGAGCTATGCAATTAAAAGTGATCAATATGCTACCCTTGGGGCGACACATTTAACTTTACTCTATTCTCAAGCTTTACTTGATTTACATCTTGTTCAACATGTTGGCGATGGTTTAGTTTACAGGGTAAATGAGAATACCTGTATTGCCATAAGAAATATTGCTCTTCACCTTTGGCGGAATCTTGGACATTACAATTTAGCTCGAGATATGATTACCTCATTAGCTGCTAATCTTTTCTCTTTCTATCAAACTAATATAACCTCGATTTGGGAACAAGCATTGGCTGAAATTCAATTTGAACATTATTATCTTAAAGATGAATGGTCGAAGGCGGAAAATTTTGTTAAAAAGATTCAACTTTACGATAAAACGGAAGCTTCAATTCGAGCGGCTGAACTTTACCTTAAACAGAAACGTCGTGATGAAGCATTTGCAACGATATCGAAACTTCAAAATTCACCCGAATATCATCAACTTTCAGCTTATACTCAAGTTCGTATTATGATTATGAAGGGAAATGTTCTCAATGATTTTGAGACACTTTTCGAAGCCTTAGAAATTGTTAAAAAGCATAAATTTGGCCTACTTGAGACTCGATGTGTCCTTGAAATCGCTCGACTTGAATATAAATTTGGACAAAAGTCAAAATCATTAACTTTATTACGAAGTGTTTTCATCACTGTTCTTGGTTATGCTACTCGTCGGGAAGTCGCTTTTGCTCATTACCTTGAAGCCTTAAATTGCCGATCATTTGGTCATCTTGATGCTGCTCTTAATTCCAATGAAACGGCCATTTCAATTTACCGACAAATCGAAGATCGTGAATATTGTCGTAAAGCTTATTCTTTACACGCTCAACTTTATAATGAAAAGAAAGATTTCGAAAAAAGAAATTTCTATGCTCTTCAAGTGAGAAAATTGTTGGCGACATAACAACAATAGTTAATATCTTTTAAATTGCTCAAAAATTAATCTATAAAAAAAATCAGACAATTTCTTAATTGGTCAAAACAAATTTGTGATTTGCTTGATAAAATCAATCCACCAAAACATAAACTGTTAATCTTGTAAATCATCAGTCATTAAAATTCTGAAAATATTTTTATCATATTCAACATAAAAAATTGTAGATGATTTTACCACAAAATATAATCGAATCTGGAGAAATTAACAAAATTTCTTGAAAAAAATCTAAAATTGAAAATTTAATTAACTTTTTGAGAGAAAAAATAGGTTTAAATTTCGCGCTTCTCGCTAGATGGTGATATTTGTTATCAGGCGGAAACGGAATCAGTTTTTCTTGAGACTTAGTTTTCTTGACTGAGTGTTTTTTGTTAATTGTGTTTAGTTGATTTTGTGTTTTTAATTTAATTAAAATGGGAAAATTTCGTAACAATGTGGTACCTAATGTACATTTCCACAAGGATTGGCAAAAGTATATAAAGACCTGGTTCAATCAACCAGCCCGAAAGGCTCGAAGAGCAAGGACCCGATTAACTAAATCTAAACCAAATTCCCTCAAGCCTGTTGTTAGTTGTCCTACCATGAGGTATAATATCAAAAGCGACTTGGACGAGGCTTTTCAATCACTGAATTAAAGGCTGTCGGTATGTCCGTTGGTTATGCTCGATCTATTGGTATCTCGGTTGACCCAAGACGTAAAAACAAATCAAATGAAAGTGTTGAAAGTAACATCCATCGTCTCAAGGTTTACAAGAATAGACTTCAAATTGTTTCAAGACCTGGCAAGAAGAACAAGAAACCCGCTGGTGCCCCAGAAGTAGACAAATTAACCACCACCATTAGAGGAAAAATCATGCCCCTTAAAGCCAAGAGGATCACCATCACTCGGCGAGTTGTCGATAAAAGAATGGCCAAATTCAAGCCTTTCCAATTGACCCGAATGGCCAGAAAGAAGGAACGTCTTGTAGGTTACAGAGAAAAGAAGGCTAAAGAAGCCGCTGAAAGTCTAGATGGTCCTGGAAAGAAGTAAATTAAGTCATCCGTATCTTCTGCTATCAAATCAATTTACAAATTGTCAAAAAATTAAACTTGATAACAAAATATCAATCAATCCATACTCTCTAATCTTCTGTTCAATAGCATCTTCATTAACTCTGTTCACTCAGATACATGAAATTGTTTCAATTCGCGAGAAATTTATCATCACAACAATTTCGTTTCATTAGATTCGTTTATTAACATTCAATTTCTCTTCAAGATTAGTTAATTCTTAAGAACAAAACAAGATGCAATTATGATCATGTAATTTATAAATTCTCTTATGAGATCAGTAATATTTTATTTTACTCTTTTTCTTTAAAATCATTTAGGTAAACATTGATTAGGTTCATGGGAGATACTTTTTAGCAAATGTTAAAGCTTTTTTCTCAAAAACAGATGATCGAATTGGAGTATGAAGCTCATAGAATGTATTAAGTGTAAATTTACAGTACAAATCGTATAAATCGGTGAAAAAAGATCTCAAACTTGTATCTTCAATCTTGGTTGCATCATGGAGAAGTAGAAATTTAATTGTACTTGAAGCACAAACGAAACCATTAACATAATATTCATTAAATTTGTCAACAACTTTCAAATACATATTAGAATTAGAAGAAGTCAAGAAAGATTCATCAATTAAATCCAAAGATGAATGAGCGATGAATTGAGATAAATTTCTATTCTCTGTTGATCTTTCACTAGATTTTGTCGTATATTCTAATTCAAATATTGGATTATCACTTTTACCCACAATGACAAAATAATAATTCGATCCTTGACCAGTTTGAGTCATAATTAAATAGATTTAATTGCTTTAAAATAACACAAGAAAACAAATGTTTCTAATCAACACAAACAATTAAATGTCAACTGATTCTTGTTAAGCCTAAGGTAACGAATCCAATTCCAAACGAGTCCAATTTTAATTCAGTCAAAGGCAAAAGTGAAGATCCAAATCCAAAGGACTTGATATGAAATTTTGACAATCAGAAAGAAAACAATTTAATTAAACGATTAAATCGTAACAATTGATCAGTATTTCCATTAATATTTCGATGTGTAATCACTCACAAAGCTAAAATTGATTGATTCCGCCTCCATTACTACAAAATTGAACTTCTATTCAATGAAAGAAATTGAATTTGATTTGATTTTCATTTGGAATCATTTGGTTATCAAATGTTCGATTAATCGATCATAGAACTTTCGATGTATCGAACTCTTTTCTTTTTAATTCTTTTCCCGCTTCGGTTATAAGGATTGACTTTTGGTCGCAATTGTTTTTTTAATTGTTTTCTTCTTAATTTAATTGTTTGGTTGTTCAATTCTAATTATGGCCAGTTTGAGAGAGATTATCATCTATCAACATTTCAAAGCACTCGCTTCAAAGGTAAGTTGTAATGGAATAGTAAATTTGATTCATTCTTAAGGTGAATTAAATTTTTCCTCTTTTGGTTTGTTTTGTTTACTTATTTTTTTGGTTGTTTATCTTTAATTAGGATGAGGAAGTTGACAGAGTTTTTCGAATGCTGTTAATGGGATACTTCCACCCGACGATTAATAATCTGATGAAAATATTCAATCAAGGACAAGAGATTCCTAATATAAATTTACGGCAATTAAGTCAACAGATTGATGAATCTATTGGAAGTGAAGTTGCTGAATATTATAAATATCTAACTGGTAAACGTAACAATCCAACTTGTGATGAGTTAATGGTTGAGGTGGAAAAATTTAAACTCGATTGTCAAAATCTTGCCTCTATTGATAGAGAGATCGCCAATGTTTCGGAAAATATTTTAAAGGTAAATTGTAACCGAAGTTAATCCCGTTGAATTTAAACTCATTTTCTCTCATTTTAATAGGAAGCCAATAAATTTTATGAATATGTTGAAAAACACACCAAAGAATTTAAATTGGGATTCAAATTGAATTATGATCATGCAACTGGTAATTTACTTTGTGCCAAGGCTCAAGCAACTTGTTTGAAGAAAAGGTGAGAATGACTATTATCTTATTTGAGAATCAATTGTGAATTACAAAAGATTGTTACTAATTAGATTTTTGGTTCTATTCAATTTTCCAGACTGGAAGAGACTGAAGAAGCTGTTCATAAATATGGAAAAAAAGAAATAGTTGAACGTCTGAAAGGTAAACGAAATGATTTAGAAACTGAGAATCAAAGTTTAACTAGTGAACTTGAAGAGAAGAAGAAAAAATTGGAAAAATATGAAAAACTTGATCCAAAATTGATTGAAGAATATACTAAACTTAAAGATGAATTAAGTTGCCGATTATGGGCTTACAGGATGGTTGATCGAAGTTCAAATTGTTCTCAAGGATCAATTGGAGATTTATCATGTTAAACAATTATTATTTCCATTGGAGATACGAACGATGTGAAATAGTAATTTCTTCTTTCACCGTGAGAGAAAATAAATCACCTTAATGATCAGATGAACGTATTTAGTTGACAATTTACTCGCGAATCGAAACTATCGATTTACCCGAATTGAACGCCGTTGAGATTTGACTATAAATTGATTGATATTTTGTTATCAAGTTTAATTTTTTGACAATTTGTAAATTGATTTGATAGCAGAAGATACGGATGACTTAATTTACTTCTTTCCAGGACCATCTAGACTTTCAGCGGCTTCTTTAGCCTTCTTTTCTCTGTAACCTACAAGACGTTCCTTCTTTCTGGCCATTCGGGTCAATTGGAAAGGCTTGAATTTGGCCATTCTTTTATCGACAACTCGCCGAGTGATGGTGATCCTCTTGGCTTTAAGGGGCATGATTTTTCCTCTAATGGTGGTGGTTAATTTGTCTACTTCTGGGGCACCAGCGGGTTTCTTGTTCTTCTTGCCAGGTCTTGAAACAATTTGAAGTCTATTCTTGTAAACCTTGAGACGATGGATGTTACTTTCAACACTTTCATTTGATTTGTTTTTACGTCTTGGGTCAACCGAGATACCAATAGATCGAGCATAACCAACGGACATACCGACAGCCTTTAATTCAGTGATTGAAAAGCCTCGTCCAAGTCGCTTTTTGATATTATACCTCATGGTAGGACAACTAACAACAGGCTTGAGGGAATTTGGTTTAGATTTAGTTAATCGGGTCCTTGCTCTTCGAGCCTTTCGGGCTGGTTGATTGAACCAAGTCTTTATATACTTTTGCCAATCCTTGTGGAAATGTACATTAGGTACCACATTGTTACGAAATTTTCCCATTTCACCTTATAAACAATTAACTTAATTATATTAATAGATTATCTTACACTTGGAAACAAAACAACAAACAGATTTTGTATTTTCTGAAAAAAGGAAAACAAAAATTTCTCAAATTCATTATTCCGTTTCCGCTCATCGACACTCGCGCCATCTGGGGAATAGAATGAAAGTTAATCGGGTCAATCAATTTTCTTTTTGACAGAAACAAACAATTAATTAGTAAATCTAAGAAGAGCAATTTGATTACTGCTTAATTGTTTTCGCAATTTTAATCTTAACAATCTATTGGAAGGATTCTAATTCGTATCCTTTGATTTCTATTGACATTTTATTTGTTGTTTCTCTTTTATTAATGTTAACTAATTTAGTTCGTTTTTCTTTAATTAAATTACCTTAATTGTAACTATTTCTCTAGTTAAATCATCAGGAAATCTACATGAGTGATAACAAGAATGAAAGTAAATCTCGTCATACAAAAAGTGGAACCAAAAAATCAAAAAGTCTCGAAAAAGGTTAATATTTATTTTCTTAATTGTTATAAATTTGATTCCATTTAAATTGTTTGAAATAATTAAATTTCCTCAGAGAATCCGAAAGTATCATAGAGCTTAAAGAGCCTGATTCAGTTGGTAATCAATTTGAAATTGGTCTTTATAGTATTTCAACTAAAGAGGATCAAAGTATAAGGTAATTAAAATTAATTGTTAACTTTTTCCTCTCTCCAATCAATCAAATTAACTCTTTTAATTACTGTTAATCCACAGACAAGGAGTCGATGATAAATCAAGCGACAGTTTGACATTTCTTGATGTTTATGAACCAAGTTTGTCAACAAGTAACTTGTAAGTTTAATTATCATCTCAGTAATTAACTAATCAACCTATTAATTGTTAATTGTTAATTTCTGTTCAAAGGTCGTTTCCTCAAACTAAGTCGCCAGTGATTAATACCAATGGTCAGAAAATTGAATCAATTCAAGATCCAAGTAAATCGTTGAATTCAACACCAATAATCAGTGAATCAGTTCAATCAATTCAAACTCCTAATCAAAGAGATCTTAATCCTCCAATAATCAATAATGACTCACAACCAATTGGGAACATAATTAATCCACTCGAAAATCAATCAATCATCAATATCGCAATGTGGTTACTATTTGTTTATTTAATTCTAGTGGTCATCTTTCAATTCTTACGATTTTTTGATTAAAAATGATAACTTTATTTAAGTAAATCAAATAATACCTTTTGTTTAAAATGTCACATAAATTGATTGTTGATTAAAATACCAAATTATCTCAACTTTTAGTAGCAATTAATAGTATTGTCACCAATAGGGTAATAACCATTTAATTCACTATTAAGAGTCTTGAGAAGTGGCCAATTAGTTGAACAGCAATTTGATTGGAAATCATCAAGTGACAATTCCCAAAGCATCACACCTCCGAGATTTAATTGTTTGATATAATTTGATTTTCTCCTTAAACTAATCAGATCATCAAAACCAACCCATTGATTATTTTTATAAGCAATCGGAGCTTCAGAACCAGGAAATCGTTTAACTGACCAGTCCGAGTTTCGGATATTCAAACAAATCTCAGTGAAAGACAAATAACCGGACTCTCTAGTAACTGGACCTTGTCCACCAGGACCAATTGATTGTTCACCTAAACCATAATTAGTTGAATTGTCGGACACATTACTGGCCAAAGTAAAGGCTCGACCATAAAATGGTACACCGATGATTAATTTACTCGCAGGGAAACCTTCATTGATCCATTTGTTAACAATTGAATTACAATTACGATCAATTTCATCATCATCATCACCATAATTAGCGCTCGGTGTTATTTGAAACAATTGTGAATGATGAACGGCAACATTATGATAACCTTTATAAAGATCGTAGGTCATTATGTTAACAAAGTCCAACGATTGAGCTAAACTTTGTATATCATATGAAGTATTGACCAGTCGCACCCAACCACCAACAGCGGCGGTGATTAAAAAGTCTGACCCATTGGTAGCTGACCTCAACTCACTGACCAGTGAAGCGAAACCTTGTTTATCATTGGCTCCCATTGAAGCGGTACAATTGTCCTGCCAACATGAAGGATATTCCCAGTCAAGGTCAAGCCCATCGAACCCATGGAATCGTAAAAACGGAATCACCGATTTGATGAAATTTTCCCGTTTCGTTGAATTATTGACCATCAGTGAGTATTTCAATCCATCGCCCGAATCGCCCCAACCTCCCAAAGACAAAAGCACCTTCAACGAAGGGTTAATTTGCTTTAAATCGGTCACCCGTCGGTAAAAGTTCATATTAAAGTCAATTGTACCATTCGAGGTTATCAAGGTGTGAGTCTGATTGTCCAGTATCGCAAAAGCATAATTAATATGAGTGCAAAGGTGAGCCGGAATATCTTCCGGATAAAGTGACCCATCCCTAGAAGATGACCAAGCCCAATTGGTAAAGTAACAAACGACCTTGTAATTGTTTGGGGTTAAAGGTGAAGATGAATTAACAGTTGATTGGGTTAATATATTTTTCAGAATAATTTGATCATCATCTAGTTGATCAATTGAACAATTAGGGGGAAAATCAACTGTACACAATTGTCGCTTCGAGTCAAAGTAAAGGCCAACTGGACATCGTAACAATCGGACAATTGTCCCATTCATACATTCACCATAAAGTTGACAATTAACTGATTCACCAATGTAATAAGTATCATTTGAATTACATGGTTGATCAACTGTTAATGTTGATGAGACAATTGGAAACAATTGGATACATGAAACAATTAAAACTAATTCACTTATGAATATAAACATTTTCACCTTTCATTTGGTTGATTGATTGTGATACTTGAATGGTTGGATGTTGTTGTTTTTAGCAATTTATTAATTAATTGGTTGTTGTTGTTGTTTCAAACTGACTCTTCAAAGTTACAATTAACAATCAATGAGACTCATTTTAATCATCATCACTTGACTAATTTATTATTATTATCAATTAAAGGAAGATACTTGTTGGGTTAATGATAATATCACTTTACTATTAGTTAAAAATAACGGAAACAATCAACTAATCATCTCAAAATTATCTTGAAATCAAACATTTTCAATTACATTGAACTGTAGCTGATTTAATTGTCGCTCATTAAATTGTCCTAAATTGCTCATTAATCAATATGGAAACTAAATTGCTACACTTCCCATTGACAATGATTAGTTTAATTTTCACATGATTACAACCAATGTAATTGTATTGAACACAATTAACCAGTTATAATCAATTAAACCATCGAATCAAAAATTAAATCGTTCGGTTTTAGATTCAATTGGAAACAATTTGGTTGCGAAATGAAAACGAGACAAATTAATTTCTTAATTGTTTTTTTAATTCGACAATAAATTGGAAATAATAATTCTTAGAATTTGAATATTTCTCTGAATGATCAGTTCAATCAAGTTCGAAGTGATCAGTAAATCATTGAATCGACGACAATTTGTCAGAAACTCTACTTACTAATTGCAAGAATTTGATTGTTGTTTTAATTGTTGTTTTTTCTATTCTTATGTTTCACCAGGTTGTTGAGCCCAAGGGGTCATTTGGAAAAGGACAAGGGAATAAGTAAGAACAACACCAAGAACCGTTAGGACGAAGCCTCGATCGATGATGAATAGATTCCAACCGGTTAATTGTGAAGGTGTTCCAGACAATTTGATCAGAATTCCAAGTACCTGATGAGATTGATCAATTTTAGAGAAAGTGTAATGTGAATATGAGGATATTTCATGGAAATCGGAGGCCGAAGCAAGTGACTCTTCGGACATTAAAGCCGCTGAAAAGGAGATATTAAAGAAGAGCCATAACATATGAGACACTCGAAGTCCAACAAAAAGCACTTCAAAAGTGTCTTCCCATTTCTTAGTTAATCGTTCAATCAAATAATAAACATACTTGGACAAATCGGACATTATGATTATGTAGACAAGTAAAGTTAAAAGTGACAATTGATGGTCCATCCGATAGACCATCTTGGTCAGTCTATTATGGATCAAGCGAAATTGTCTAACTTGACTTGACCTTAATCTTTGTCTACCTAATCCAAGATGATCTTGTAATTCATCATCTTCATTGAGATTATCAATTGGTTCAGTTGAGAGAGATGATGATTTAATCTTTCTCGCATGAAGAGCAGCCCATTCATTGAACATATGAAATAGTATTTTCATAAAATGACACAATAAAATGTAGTAGATGGCAAAAAATTGCATCGGTGCGACAGTGGCCAGAAAATAGACCGAAGTTTCAACCAGGGTGATCAAAAGAGTACAAGTTGTCCCAATGGTTTCAACTCGAAGTCCAAACCAATAATCGTGGAGATATTTTCTCATGTCATCTTCACTTATATTGGAAGCGAAATTGGTATAAATGAAGAGAATCATTAAACTCCATCCAAGAGTAACATCGATTAGAACCTTTCGTCGAAGTGAGGAAACCAAATTCGGCCTTAAGCTTGTTGAATGGGGAACAATTTGGAAATAATTGTCAACATCGATCAATAGCTGAGAGATTGACTTTTTTCGGCAAAAGAATAAGATCAACACCAAAAGAGAGCAGAAAAGTTTGGTACACGAAAAGAAACTGTACAAAGCGTCGTTCGGGGCTCCATGGGAGAGGAGGAAACACTGACAGCCGACATTGTGTAAGAACGCGAGCACAACCATAATTAGAATAAAATAATTCCAATAGAGTGACTTTCGCCGAGAGAGAAAGAGAAACGAACAATTAACCAATGGATCAACTGAATTATCGTTGGGAATAAAATCAAGACCAACCAACGTCATCGACAACAAGATCGGACGAATTGCTCCCAAGGTCGACCAAGATGCCGATCGGTTGACCTTATAGTCCAAATTTGGCCTTTCCAATGTAAACAGTTGACTATCCTTTCGAGCTGATTGTCTTTCGGTATAATAATCTAACCACGAACGAACCGATCTGTTGATTAAGGTCAATTTTAACAATTTACCGTCAACTTTAATTGTTTTCCCGTGTAATTTACAAACTGGATTAACATTGGAAACAATATCTTTAGGATTACATTGGCAGTAACAATTTAAAGTTTTAACTGATTGTTTCATTAAATTATTATCTAAATCAACTTGATTGAAACGATTCATTGTTCAACTTTATCGGATCACTTTCTGTTAATTCTGACCATTTATCGGTGGTCATCATCATGGTCATCACAATTAGATGACTAATAATGATTAATGAATTGGTTACCAATGAATTTATGACAATTAAAGTTTCGATAACAATATTAATCTTATTATATTAGGTCAATCTTTTTTTCATTGGAAAAGTTTATTATGTTTTTAATTAGGTTAAGGTTTTCATCAATTGTGGTCACAATTAATGATCAACAGGAAATTGTTGTTGTTAATTAAGAAACACTAATGATCATAGATTAGGTTTAATTTATTGGTCTAATCGTTTTTCATTTAGAAATCAACAATTTAATTAACTAATGATGATCAAGATTCAACTCGTTGCCAATGAAACATTGTTTTTATCTTGAATTTAATTGTAACAACAATTAAAGAAATTCAAATGAGACAATTTGTTTATTTCTATTATTTATTTAATTAGATTAAATTGAAAATAATAATAATTAACTTTGAGAAATGAGAGCCACACACAAATACAAGGCGAGAACTGAATTGTCTTAATTTTGATTGTTAGATTGTGATGATTAACCTTTTTTCGTTGATTTAATTAGAATCAATTTTGTTCAAGGATTAAACTTCATCTCAATCGTAACAATTAAATCAAAATCATTAACAGTTATTATCGCTGTACAAGGCAATACGGGTTGTATAATCAGTTGATTTGTTTTTTTCTTAATTTACAATCAAGTATTAATAGTTAATTGTTATTTCAATTACGATGATAGTTACACAATTAAAATGGTAAACGATTCATCAATATTATCGTTATTAAGTTATAATTAAAGTTATCAAATTTTATGATTAATCTTTAAAATAAATATTAAGCTAATTGTAGTTGTCATTACAATTAGCTAATTGTGCTTTTAAATTAGTGAGATTATCTTTCCTCTCACTTAATCTCTACACTTAAATTAATCAATAAATGGTTTTTTTCAAAGTGTTATTATTGTTACCTGGCCAATGGACTTTAAATTATATTATAAATTGTCTAATTTTTTTTATCAATTGTTAACAATTAATGTTTTAATTGCTCTTATTGTTCATTACTCTTCGATAAGGATGATAATTTGTAATCGTTGCTGATGATCGTGTAAAACTGGGTCCTAGAGTTGATTGATTGTTATGATTTCCAGTTGATTGACCATTGTTGTTATTTGAATTACGAATAATTAACTCAGTGTTCTGATTATATCCAAAGATACGTGTTGTTAGGTAATTGGAAACGTCTCGATTGAAATCATGAGCTTAATTGTTAAAGAGAGAGAGAAAGAGAAAAAATTTATAATGAATTGTTAGGTTGATTGAGTAGTTTAATTGTACCTGATTGAGATTGTTGATTAGCTCGAGTCATTAATCCATTTGTTTGTCCATTACCTGAAAACTTTGCGTTAATTAATAGATCAAATATTCACAGTGGCTTAATTAAATATTAATCATCTCCATTGGAATAGCAATCAAACAATATACATGTAGAATTTACTTTAAGAGTTGCTTAAATTAGCATCAATAATATTGAATAATTTGAATGATTGTTTTATTTTCAATGAAGATGATTAATTACTATCAATCATTTGTAGAATTACCTGTTTCATGAGCATTTGATGAAACTGGACAATTTTCTCCGGATGAATTTGTTGTGACAGAAATTTGTGATGATGTCGGTAAATTGATACCATTTTGATTAGTTAAATGATTTGTTGGTTGAGCATTTAAACATGATCCTGTTTGTTGTTGACCTGAGCCTGTTACAGTTGATAAATTAAGTGATGCTGTGAGACTAGATGGACTTAATCCAGGACTGATTGGTGCACCAGGTAAATATCCAGAGTAACTAACAGGATAACTTGAGCCTGTAGATGAAAAGGGAGAAAAGAAAAAGTTTTAACAAAGAAAAAATCAAAATCAAGAAAAGAAATGGAGAGAAATTAAATTTACCATAAAGTGGATAAGATTGATTAGTCCAAAGGCCATGAGGATGTGGCATTGGGGCTAATCCAGGGTAAGGGTAACCCGATGGATGCCATGGGGCAGGAGCATGAGGAGGATAAGGTGTTGGATAGAAAGAGGCTGGATGACCATTCCAAGTTGACGGATGAGGAGGCGGTGGTGGTGGTGGACCAGGTCCAGGGTTAGGATTGGGTAAATTTGGTGAATTAAAACTTGGAATTGAAGTAGCATTGGGTGAACCAAGAGTTGCCGATGTACCGTTGGTCAATCGGTGATGACCACTTGGAGATGTTGGTACCCATCCGGGAAGGGAAGTCCAAACAGGATAAGTAGTTTGAATTAATCCAGTACCAGGTAAACCAATTGGTTGATTAACTTGAGGTACACCACCGGTTAGATTAATAGATGAGCCGGAATTGTTTACTGCTGCTGCAGCTGCGGCAGCGGCAGCAGCAACAGCCGCTGCTATGTTTCCATGAGATTGTGATGTTAATTGTTGTGGTGGTAACGATGCTGAGGTTGGTGAAGATTGATGATGACCTGGATGATTAGGATGAAAATGAGCTGACCACCAAGTTCCAGGTATAACTGAGATCCCGTTAGTTGAACCATCGGTTGAATCATTTCCATTATTACTATTGAGAGTTAATCCATTGAGAATAGTTTTCTCTCGAGGTTCAGCACGTTTAACCTCAACCTAAATCATCAGAGAACATAATAATATTAAAGAAAAAAAAGAGAAGACAATCAAAACCAGTGATCAATTAAAAAACTAAAAATCTGACAAATTAATTTACAAACATAAAAAAAGAGTAAAAAAACACAAGGATCAAATCAATAGGGAAAATGAAGGTAACATCAAACTGAGAAACATAATAAAATTGGGTGGATATAAATGACAGAATAAGATAGTTAATAGAAAACAAAGGTGTGCATGTTAATTGTAAATTAGAAATAAATAATTAAAAGAAAAGAGTTAATCACAATTAGTTAACAACGAATGAGAAAAATAAAAAGATGGATGAACAAGTCAAGTCACTTATAGAAAGAAAAAAGAAAAAATTTTTTTTTTAAATCTCTTAATTTCTACATGATTAGGAAAAGAGGGAAACATGCAAAGAACACTTAGAACTTAATGAAGAACAATTTAAAATTATTAATTAAAAAAGAAAAACATACTAATTATAATTAAGAATAGAAAATGAAACAATTAAAATGAGAAACAAAATCAACAAAAGATCCAAATGGAAATCAACAAGTTAAAGAGAAAACAAAATCTCTATGAAAATGGCGCTCAAATGGTCAGCTGACTTTTTTTCATTTTCTTTTCTCTTTCACTTGTGAATCATTTTAACTTATAAATGTATTGAAAGAAAAACGTTTAGAGTTAATTTTGTTAAATTAGTTTGTTTAAATTGGTGCACAATCAAAATTAAATTTGAAAATAAATAAATTAAATTAAATTAAACAACAAAAAGGTAAGTTAATTGTGATTTTTGATTGGAAAATAGGAAAACAAAAGCCTAACCTTTTTACCGCTGATGACCACATAATGTTCATCGACTAATTTGTTAACTGCTTCTTCACTCTCAAAAGACAAGAAACCAAAGCCTAATTGTTATAGATAATTAATTACAATTAATAATTGTATATCCAATACAATTGATTTGGGCGGTTGTTGGTAGTTATTTTAAGATAAACAATTAATTCATTTGTGTGTCAATTTGAGTTTTGAACGTTGAACATTTGGTGTTAGTGTTTGTGTTGTCAGTGTGAGAGTAATTGTTTTGTTTTTGTTACACAATTAGAAACAAATTTAATTAATTGTTTAAATTAATTGTTCATTATGTGTATGTGTATATTAATATAGTATTTTTTTTTTTTTGTAATTACAGAAGGATTTCAATATGCAATCATCAACAATCACGCAAGGACAAGAAATAGAAATTAAAAAAAGAGACAAAATTAATATCAACCAATAGGTGTAGTTAGTTAGTTAATCATTTAAATTAGTTAATAGATTTTTCTAATGAAAATTAGTCATTAAATTGTACAGGATAATCTTAATTGTTTGTTTTGCGTTTTTCGTATTTTCCCGATTATTACATTTAATTTAATATACGATTAGTTAATTTAGACAACATTAAACATACACACTATTAACTAATAACAATTAAACATTAGTGTTTATGTGTGTTGATTGATTTTGATTTGGTTGCTAATTGTTATTAATAATCAATCAACTGCTTATTTCGCGGACTGATTGACATTTTTTTTTCCAAAATTTTCAATCAATTCTAATTGTTAATCAATTGAATGTATTGGTCTCAGTTTGATTGTTAACTTTTAAAGAGATTGATTTTTTTTCTGTCTTCTTTACAATTTGATTCACAATCAAATTAAATTGACACTTATCAATAGATGATGTTGTTAATTTGATTATTTTGTTTTCTCTGTCCAAAGAAAAATAAATTGTTAATCATTTATATCTAACTTTAAATGGATAATCAATAAATCACCAAGTAGATCAATTGATTTTCTCAATTGTTTATATTGATAGAGAGTAAAATATAATCTCAATTTAATTGTTCAATTGGATGTTAATTATTACAATTTAATTGAAACACTTTACAGAATATTAAACTAAATGACCAACATCAATTTAATTGTTTAAATTAAATCTCTCAAATCAATAATTAACTTTGAATCGAAAAGACGAAAAAAATCAATCTAATAACAGAAAACAACTAAACCATGATAACAATCAATCGAGTATGTTGATTGTTAATTTCTTGTTAATTGTTGATTAATATTTGTTGTAAAAAACAATCTAATCTTTACACACAACTAACCGAATCAAATTTAGAGTAACAGTTAATTTAATTACGATACCTCTGAATCCATTTCCTCGGGTCTTCTTGCGCTCTTGATCATACATAATAACAACTTCCACAACCTGTAATTAAAAGATAATGACAACAATTAAGTTAACTGTAAATTTTGATTTTCTTTATTTTCTCTAGATGATCAATAAACCAAATGGGAATCAGTCTAATCATTGATGGCGAAGAAGATGAAGATAAATGAACATCAAGCAAAGACGAAAGAAGCTGTGATATTGCAAGAGAGATGAAGAAAAAAACATTAAACGGAAAAGGAAAAGATGAGGAGATGATGATGATCTTGTCCTTTTATCTTCATCTCCCTCTCTCTCTCTCTCCCTCACCCAACCCATTGAATCTTTGAAGCATTAAATTTGATTAACAATTGATGTAAAAGTAATGAATATAACCCAACATCTTATGTCACTTGATGATACAATTCAATTTAAATTTCATTTTAACAATAATCATCATCATTACTGTTAACCATTAACTTGATTGTCACTGTTAAACAAATTGTTGTTTTCTAATGTAATTTTTCTCTCTCTCTCTCTCTCTCTCCTCCTATTCCTTAAAAGCATTGAATTTATTGCTGATCATCATCATGATCATCATCATGTTTTATATGATTGATTAAATGAATTGTAAATGTCACTTAAAGGCAAGACTCTTATGCTCCAATTGTTAATCAATGTTAACATGAATTGATTACTTAATGAAAGAGATTGACTTTTTATTTTAATCACTCAATTAACTGGATTAAATTTTTTCTCAATTCATTAACAAGTTTGGTTAACAACTTAATCTTGATTAACTGAAGGAAAAATCCAAACTTGATCATTTTCTGATCTACAAGCAAATCTAATCGTTTACACTTAGATATTGAATTTACTCTGGAGATGAAGCTTTTAAATGATATCAATCACTGTTTAAATATTATCTCTCTCTCGAGTGACCGGAAGTAAGGTAGTCCTGGTCACTTTGATGATAATTTCCTGGTCATCATGATATAATAATCAGTAAATATATTTATACACATTTAATGATAATGGTCATGGTTATCAAATTACCTTTTAAGTTATTGTCAACAGTTTGATGATGACAAACAATCAACTCATTGAGGATGAAAATTGATTCAATTGTCAATGTAAATTATTAGGTTACTAATTGTTAAACAAAACAAAGTTGAACAATCAACTATTGAATAGTTTTTTAATCAATTGGTTTAATCAGTCAATTAATTGTTTAACCAAAGTGTTAATGGTAAACAATATTTACCTTTAATCAACAAAGAGATACAATTAAATTTATACTAATAGTAAATTAAACTGTTATTGGGTGTGGAACTGGTTTAACTCAATCATTAATTTAACATTGACATTAACCACATAACAATCAACAATTAACATCAATGAATATTAATCAAATAATAATAATAGTAATACTTTGATGATGATTAGGTGAGTTAATTATTAAGCGTTACCAGTTTCAAACAATCAATATCAATTTGAATATAATTTAAGTGGTTCATTGTTATTTAAATCAATAATTTACATAAATAAGTGATTAATCAACTCCCAGGAGCAATTGATTAACCAACAATTTAACTTTGAATCCTTTCAATCAGCACAACAACAACAACTGGATTAACATTGATATTGTAATTGGTTAATTGTTGAAATTTGCTCTTGTTTGCAACAATTAATTTCACTTTAACTTAATTTAGGTATTACAGGTAAAAGTTACTTTCTAACAATCAATTTTGATTAATGGGAAAACAAAAGTTAATCAACATATTGGGAGTTACTTTATTACCTTGATTATCAATGTTATCAAAAGTTTATTAATAAAAATCATCTAGAGTGTTGATAATAATACTCAGCACGTAACCATGGTGATTTCAACAATAAGATTAATATATTAATCATAATAATAATCAACAACAACAACAACAACAATCAAATTAAATGAATTGAAACCAATGACATTAAAAACAAAATGTTGTTGGTTAATCAACAAAAGTTCAACGACAACAATCAATTGTTACTCTCATTAAATTGCTTATTGATCAATTGATTATCAGACAATTGATTTAATAGTTTCTACCATTAAGGTAACAATTAGCATCTAAAAGTAAATTTTACTGATACAAATCAAATGAGGGCGGAAAAAAAATACTTTCAATTGTAATTAAACTTTTAATTTGCTTCTTAATTGTGGTTTTAATTTTAAATGTCCAATCTATTAACTGTCACTTTATATATCTGATAATAGAGTTTGATATTAACCAGTGACAATTAAACCACTAAACTTTGAATGATTTTATCATAACAATAAACTGTCAACAATTTATATAAATTAAATCAACTGTCACCATATCGGTTTGATGATTAACAATAGGAGCAGATTATTTAATATAAGATATCAATTGAATTGTTAAATTGTTGTGCAAAAAAAAGTGTCACATTGTTAACAATGAATATATTGGACAATCAATTGGCTTATGATAAAACTAATCAATTAAATGATGATGATGATGATGATGATAATCTGAAAGAAAAGTTAATCCGAACAACAATAACAACAACAATTAACTTTCCTCAATGAATTGTGGTTAAATTATCAATAATTGATGAGTGGTTACAATGTTTACACTGAGAATATGTTCCCATGGTTATATTGATTTAGATTTTTTCTCATTTTTTTTCTCGTTAATTGTGATCGTTAATTAATCACTTACTTTGCCGTATTGGGTGAAAAATTGCCTTAGGACGGTTTCATTTACATCTGAAGGTAAACCACCGAGAAAAATTTTCGGATAATTGGACATTTTTGCCTCTCGTTTCCCTTTTTGGGCACTTTTTGGATTACACGATTTAGGATCAATCTGGAGAAATAAATTAACAATTAGTCGTTGATTAATTTTCTCTACTAATTATTATTACCGTTCTTTCATCTAAATGATGAGGACCAGCATTTAAAACTAATTGGACGCAATTAGGATCTTTGAATGTAACGAATCCAAATCCTCTTGATCGACCTGTTTCTGGATTTTTCATCACCACACAATCAGCGATTTCACCAAATGCACTGAAATAATCGTTTAATTTTTCTGTAAATTGTTCCCATTGATTAAAAAAAATAAGAGAATTAAACAATTAACAATTTACAATTAACTAATCAATCAGATTAAACTGTTTACCTTTAGTTGTCTCCCAACTCAATCCGCCAACAAAAAGTTTCCTATTTTCAAATGATTCAATTGGAAAAGGATAATATTTATTATAATTTGATTTCTATATATTAATAAATAGAATTAGATTTAATTGTGTTCATTTAATTACACTCCAATAACTATTATGGTGACTCATTGATTGTTCTCTGATGATCACAAGTGATCAACTAATAAACAAATATTGATTATGATTAAATGTATGATCGGAATGATGGAGAAGCCAAGAATTTATTTGATGAGCATTTAGCATCATTCATTTGATCATTTCCATCACTATTAGTTGATTATCACACTGATGATGATGATAACCATAAATTCATAAAGCACCTTCATCACAGTGATGATATCAAGATAATAGAGAGAGAGAGAGAGAGAGAGAGAGAGAGAGAGAGAGAGAGAGAGAGTAATCAATTGATGAGGAAGATTAAATAATGGATGATGATGATGATAACAATGGAGATGAGGATGTAATGAAAGATTAGGTGACAATCAATTAATATTTTTTTCTTGTCTTAAATTGCATCTGATAGATTTTCTTTCATTTCTGTTTAATTAGTTGATTGTTCACAATTTTCATGAGGCTTAATTAACTTGGAAATTGGTGAACAATTAAATATTTACAACGTATCATGATAATTAAATTTAATTGAGAAACTTACCCAACCTCCTCTTCAGTGTCTTGAGTCATTTTGAAATTAAATGTTTGTCACCAATTAATCAGTTAATCAAATTGTTTCTCGTCAAGTTTTTTTTTGAAACTTTAATTATCAACAATTTACGAGCTAAACAATTAGAGCACAATTAAGCCGATGCTTATTTGGACACTGGGATGGATTTAACGTTTTAGTAAAGGCCAATTAACTGGAAGGAATTAGCAATTAACTTTTTTTTTTGATTGGTCGTAATTAAGATCTTTCAATTTTTAAGAATAAAACAATTTTGATTGTTTAAAATTTGTCACAATTTAAAATAATCACAATTCACTCACAATTGTGATGATTACATTTACATTGTAAGATTAATGATGAACTGTTGAAATTAAATTGTTAAATTAGATGAAGGTGATGATTAGTTCATGGATTAAATTGAATATCATGATAATTTGATTTTCGAGTTGGTGGATTAAGTAATCGTATTAGTTAATCACTGATTTTCATAGGGATTATTTTTATTGTCCCAACTAATTGTTGGTTTACTAATGGTCATTTTGTAAGGGTCACAATTAGAAACAGAATGTGAATTGATTGATCAACTGGACACAAGAGAGGAAGGTAAACAATTAACAATACGTGGTCAGTTTACACTTAGCGATTGGCAAAAGAGTCTCAATAACTTGAACTGGACTTTACTTTGGGTCAACTAAATGTTAACATGGAGTAAAAAAAAGTGTCTATGTCAACCGTTGTTATGAAGATATGAAATCGATGAGAAAAGGACAAGATGATAAAGAGAGAAAGAGAAAGAGAGTCGACTCAAGGGGGAAGGTGGAAGATGAATATCATCATTATCATCATGAGGCCTGCGTTCATTTCCATGAGATGAAAAATCCATGGTCCTAGATGGATTTATCTTCCTCTCTCTCACTCCAAATGATGTTGATAGAGCAACCATTTCCTCGAGAAGATGAGAAATCGATTTTTAGTCATCATCACAATCATCTGAACATCATCTCTCTCTCTCTCTCTCTCTCTCTCTCTCTCAGTTATTCTTTCTTTTCGAAATTTATCTTCATTTATCTCTTTCTTTTCTTCCCTTTCAACTCAAGTTCCAAGTTGAAGTAGTTGAGCAATAAGTAGTTTGGAACATTTCCTTTTTCTTATCATCTCTCTCTTCCCTTTGTTTATCCTCGAACTCCAGTTCTCCATGTATCTCTCCCTCTCTCTTTTTCTGGTTTCCATGAAATCGATTGAACTTATCACCGAGTCGACAGTAATCATCATCAAAGCAATAACATGTTATCAACACCCTTTCAGATAATGATGAGTCTTCGTATTCATTTATTGGGTTTGGTCTCATTTTTTTTCCTCTTCTCATCATTTGCATTTTTTATTTCACAATAATAATCAAAAAGTTCATCATCAGTCATCATGATTCAGTTTCAGATTTTAATCTAATCCTAATGCAATTGGAAAAATAGTTTTCTCATCAATTTGAAATAAAGAAAACTTTTTTTTTCTGTTTTCCATTCTACTCCCAATGTTAGTTGATACTCACAAAATCCTAATGACAATTTATTGATTCTGATTGTTGAGAAAAAGAAAAATATTATCTGCTTGATATTTGATATCAAATTTAATCTTCACTGATTTAATTTCATTTTGATTGTTCAACAATTTAATAACAATACATTTTCTGTCCACTTTAATGTGTTGGTCATTTTTTTATTAATCTTATTGGTGATTGATTGAAGATTGAAATCAAATTGATTCTAATTGTAACTAATTATGTAATACATTTGATTTGGTCCAATAAGATTTACTATTTATTTTGATTAGTTTAAATTGTAATTGTCATTTTGATTAGGAACTGATGATCATTCATCTTAAATTGGTTTATCTCTTAGTTGATGATTAACTTTTTAATCATGTTGTTTGGTAGTTAATTGTTGAGATTTTGTTATTTCAAGTGTCAAAAATTTAACTCTTTGGGTCAATTGTTTTAGTTGATTTTCAAACGGGTTGATTGTTTACTGATTGTTGGTTTAATTTTATGTAAATATGATTAATCTATAGCTCAAGAGATTAACTAATTAAAGTAACAATCCTTGAGATGTTTATTTATTAAAATCATCATTAGAATTGTTTATTTTGTCTAGTGTTCAACTGTTGACCTGAGGTTTCCCTTGGTAAATATTTAAATCTGATTACAATCAGATTAACTGTCAATCATGATCAGATTATAATCAAATTTATCTCTTAATTGTCTGATAATTATGGAAATTGTCAGTACGAGTTGCTAACTAAACATTGATAGCCATTTCTTTGGGATCCGAAAGGAGCACGATATTAATCAATTGTCAGTTTGATTGACTTTCAACTGATTTAATCTTACAATCTGAACAAGTTTTCTTAACAATTAAAGGTTGTATCTTCATTGAATCCCGTTGGAGAGCTTGAATTTGTTGTATTTACATAAAATTATTGTTGTTATTTTCTTCATTAGGTTAAAACTAAATTTCTAATTAGTTGATTCTGGTTGTTTTCCTTTAGCAGTGGTTCCAGTAACTAATGGAATCTCCTCAGCGGCTATGGTTTTAGGTGGATTCGCCGGGAAGGTTTCCCATGGTGTTTCCAGGTCAAATTTACGAAACTCTTGGGCTAATTCAAGTGGCTCTTCGATAATGCTTCCCAACTCATCATCATATCGATACTATTAAAAAAGAAAAACAATCGTGAGAATGATGGGAAAGATCTAAAATCGATAGACATTTGGAATAGTTTTTTTCTTCTTTTACCTCAGTGTAACCAGTTAAGGGAAAATCTTTCCTAAATGGATGACCAACGAAACCATATTCAGTAAGAATACGCCTTAGATCGGGATGAGCATAAAAGAAAACACCATACATATCATGAACCTCTCTTTCATACCAATTGGCACCTTCAAAGACTTCACAGCAAGAATCAATTGGTGTTAATTCATCAGTATAAGTTTTAACTCTTACACGTGAGTTAAAATTGATTGAGAGTAAATTATAAATCACTTCAAATCTGTTTTGACGTGAAGGAATATCCATACCACCAATATCAGCGAGACTGGTGAATTGGCAATTGTGATGTCCTTGTAAGAAAGAGAGTACAGGCACAACTCCTTCAGGGGCAATCATAATTTCCAATTCATCAACTGAAGTAACTTGAATCTTCTGAATGTATTTAGGTAAACACTCAGCACAGTAACGACCAAAGTCAATCAATTTAGCTCTTAGTGCTGCATCTCGTAGACCAGTGGTGGCAATAGAATCTTCAGGTTTAACTTCTTGACCAGTAGTAGTGGATAATATACGTTTAGGTACATTGAAACAATTGAAACCTTTAAAGAAAAATCAAATTAAAACCAATTAGACAAAGAAATTAACTAACATGATTACAGACAATGAGGAAGGTCAAAGCAAATGAAACAAATAAGAAAACAACAAAATCCAAACCAATGCTTACCAATTCTAGGCCTTAATGAACATTTAACACTGTTGTTCAACACTCTAACTAACTGTTTCAAGTGAGACATGATGATTAAAACAACAAAATATCGTAACAATTGTTAAATTGTTACAATTATATAATCAAAACAATCAAAAAAAAATTAGAATCAGAAAAAATTTCAGCTGATAAATTTTTCTTCGAAAGTAACGCCATCTATTGGTGATAGAATAAAACTAAAAAGAGTTGACAATTTACTAATTGTTTCTATTTCTATAAAAAAACTATTTACTCATAATAAAAGAAAAGTAAATAAATTAATTATAGATTTTGATTGGTCAACTGATTTCTCCTTTTCTAGAACAATCAATTTGTTTACGATAATTAACTTAATTACGATAAAAAGAGTAACAAGTGTGCTCGAAATGATTAAATTTCTCTTGGTGTAAATATTTGCATAGAAAATTAATATGCAAATAGAAAAAGTTGAATGACCGACCACCAAGAAGAATAAGAAAAAAAAAGATTAAAATTTAATCCGAAACAAAAATTGATTAGATTGTATAAAGAAAAACAATTAATTAGTTAACGAAAAAATTAATTAGAAAGAAAAAAAAACAAAATTCACTTTTCTTTTTAGTTACAATTCTCACCACCAGATGGAGCCAACAGCATCGACCGTTATGACAACAAAATTAATTAAAAATTGTTACGGTTGTTTATTTATTTGTTTTAAATTGTTAATTACTTGTTACAACCCTTTTATTATTTTAAATTTGAGTCAACTAGTTAATCTTCAATGAAATTAAATACTGGCAATCAAGTAAATTGCATCCCGGTGAAAGTAATCATTTTAAATTTCATTCAGTTATGATTATTGAAAAGATTAATAATCCAACATTAGCTACACTGTTAAGTGTACAATGTACATTTAACAGTGTAAATTGTTTACAATTAACTGTATTAGTGATAAAATAATCAGCAAAAACCATCATCAAAACCAACAAAAAGTCAACATCGACAAGAAACAAACAAAACACCATCACCATCCTCTCAACTCTAACAACCACCAAAAAGGAAACGCAACGAAAATCAACAATGGTTATTATCAGAATTTTGATCAAAGAAGAAGAAGAAGAAGAGAAAAAGTTGAGAAAAATATAAGAAGAAATGAAGAAAAAAAGGGGGATAAGGGAAGACGAAAATGAAGGATAGGAGAGAGAGAGAGAGAGAGATGATGATGATGATGAAGAAGATCCTGAAGATCAAGAAAGAAGATGATGAGATGAAGATGAAGATGAAGAAACAAAAACAAGTAAAATAACTTTTGGCAATTTTTGGCCTCTGCTACTCTGAGACCTTTCCCTTTAGTAGATGAAATTATCTTCTCCTTATTTTCCATGCATAAACATATACAACCACACTCACACTTTTCTAGTCTTCATCAACTCTCTCTCTCTCTTCATCTCTTCTCCCCATTTCTCTCTCTCTCTCTCTCTCTCTTCTTCTTCTTCTCTAATATTGACTCTCTCCCTTTTCTCTGAAATTTTCTCTCTATTTCTTTCCCTTTTTTTCACTGATCAGTTTCATGTCAAACCTGTTGATATAACCCGAATGCCCTAGCGGCCTCGTGGTACATTTTCAATGCCTTTTTATTATTATTTTCAACTATTAACCTTGACGTTTTCTCTTTCTCCTCTTTCTCTTTCATCATCATCTCTCTCCTCACATTTTAATCTCCTAATCTGCAATAATAACCAACTAACCAACTCTCTTGGAACTCAGACATAACTTAACTCTCACTTTGAACTTGTTGTTGGTGAAAAAAAAAATAACAAAATAACAAACTTCTAATGGTGTAACCAGAGAAAAGGACAAACAAATTAAATAATATATAAGACGAAGGCGAAATCGAATCAAGATCAACAAATTTTCAAGAACAAGGTGAAGGTGAAAAGGAAAAATACCATCAAGGAATTGAGAGAACGAACGAAAAATAAACAATCTCTGACATTGATTAACTTCTCTGGAGAAAATTATCAACAATCATCACCATCATCATCATCATCATCGCCGTCATTTCATCAATATCACCAGTGGAAAACCAGACAATCACCCAAATATCATAAACATTATCTAATCTCTCCCACTCTCTCACCCTCACCCTCACTCTTACTCTCTCTCTCTCCTCTCCTAATGCTCTCATATTTTTACTCACTTGCCTCTTGAAATCTCACGAAACTTTGAACACACCACGAATCAATGTCATCAACATTAATCTTCAATATCAGGTATGATTTTAATCCAAATTTCTCTCTCATCCCGATCGATTATATTAACACAATCCCATTCTAATTTACACAAAATTCACCGATAATCTTGATGTTACTATTTAGTTGTTTACTTATCATTATTCAATTATCACCATCATCAAAACAACAACATCATCATGCGTTTTGTTTACTTACTCAAAATGTGTATATGCATATGGATGAAAGTGTGTGAGTGTGAGTAGATCAATGTGTTAATCATTATACAGGGTATCTTTAATTCATTTACTCTTTTATAATAGTGAAGATAAATTGATCAAATGATCAACAATTTATATAAATATTACTGAAAATGAAAATGATTCAATTCATTGAATGATAATGACAACAAAAATGAAAAACTTTTGTTTATCAAATTGGACATGCAACATGTTTATGTTTATATTTAGTTTACTTTGTTGTTGGTTGATAATTAATGTTGATTGTAACAATTTAGATGGTTGATTATATCTGAAAAAGTAATCAATGACTCTGCAAACTGTTGACCATTCATGTAAAAGTCTGTATTTAACACTCTGTATAAATGGAGAGTAAAATTTGGTGCAATAATCCACCAGTTAAGAGTTAATAACATTTGAAAGGCTTACCTATGGTGTCAAAAACATTCAATGTTATTAAGATGATTACATTAATTTAGTTACTTACTCACTCAATTCTCTCTCTCTCTCTCTCTCTCTCAGTTGATGATAATAACCTTGAAGAAAAGAGTTTACGGGTTTCTCTCTGTTGATATTTTTCTCTTCCTCTCAGAAATGAGAGAGAGAGAACGAAGGAGAGATTGAGGGAGAAAAGAACCAAAAAAAACCACAGGGTTTTTACATAGACAAAAGTCTATGTAAAAATATTGTTGTTTCTCTTACAAGGACATCGTTTATTTGTATTGATCACAGTTAACCCAAAGCTTTTTTCTTCTTCCTTTTCATCCTCATCTCTTTTTTTTTTCAAAGTCAACAAACTTTCACTTGAAGAGCGAGTTAAGTCAATCAGTGAGAGGTTACTCTTTGGATTACTTCCAATCCTTTAACTTCAAGGCAAAATGATGATGAAGATGAAGAGGAGGAGGAGGATGAGGAGGCAAGGGTGATGAGGAAAAAGTAACTTTTTGGCCTCTCAAAATAGCTCTCAGAGTATTTTATTAACTATTCCGTTTCTTTCATTCTGTTGTTGTTGTTGTTGTTGGTGATGGTGTTGATGGTGTTGGGTTCCGTATATGTATTTTGTAGATAACAGTTATATGATCATTTAAGTGCTGTTGTTGATTACTGAATGATCGATAGAGAAAGAGAAAGAATTGATGAAGATGAAGATGGTTAAAGAAGGAGAGAATTGGAGATTGTGTCAACTTTCAAGTTACAGTTAAAGTTCATCAGAAAAGAGAAGAGAGAGAGAGAGAGAAGATGAAGAGGAAAAGGAAATAAGTCTTAAAAGTTGCTATTAGATGTCCTTGGATTTGAGTTAAGAAACAAATAGAACAAAAAAAATGTAAGTGAAAATAATGAGAGAAAGAGGAAGATAAAGAGAGATGATGATGATTAAGGGAAGTTGAGATTGAGAGGATTGAGATGATTGCTGCACGATTGCTGTTGATGCTTTTTCGTGTTGATAACTATCCAAAGGATTATTATGTTTATCATTACTGTTGTTTTTGTTTTGCTGTGGGAACCATTTGCCCGAAAAATTTAAGGAAGCAGAGGAACCATAACAACAACGTGCTGGGAAAAGGAAGGGTTGTTACAGAGAGAGAGAGAGAGAGAGAGAGAGAGAGAGAGAGAGAGAGTTCGTTGAACGTTACCTGTGCCCTCTAAACAAGTTACTGGTCACTTGATCAAGGGTTAGAGGGCAAAGGCAAAGTCATTGACAACCTTTGCCAAGGGAAACACGTTACAAGGGCCTGGCAACCTTATAAGGTTAAACCTTTTCTCTCCCAGGAATTTATCTTCTCTTTCTTTTATCTTTTTCTCTCTTTTCTCTCTTTTCATCTCTATCATCGCTCGTTAGTTTTATCATTTTTATCTTCCCCATCCTCATCAATGTCTTCGTTTTCTCTCCTTTTACTCTTTTTTTTTCTTCCTCTTTCTTTTTTTCTCTCTCTTTCTCTCTATCTTTCAACTTCTCAAAAAATTTTCTCTCTCTCTATCATCATTATCATCCTCATCCATTTGATCCTAATTAACTTCACGGTCGATGAACTGCTAACTCTCACTATCTCTTTTCTTCTCTCTCACTTTTTAACTTTTCGAGAACGAGAAGGTCCGAAAAAATCTCTGCTCTTCTTTTCATCCTCATTCATTATCATCATTTAACCAGAGGTCAATTTTATCTTCATCCTGATTACTCTCTCTCTCTCACTCTCTCACTCTCATCATCGTAAAAGATTCCAACAGGGGGAGCCAAAGTCTCTGAGTTTAGATGAAAACTATAAGGATAATGATGATGATGATGATGCTGGTGATGAGGGGAGGATAAGGATGAAGATGAGACGCAATAAAAAAATAAAATGAAAAAAAGAGAGAAAGAGAGAGAGAGAGAGAGAGAAAGAGGAAGACAAAAAAAGAAGCGTGCAAATCACGTAATGAAAAAAACTTTCCTTTTTCATCTTCCATTCTTATTCTCTATGTAAAAAATACTTTTGTCATCAAAAATCATCATCATCTTCATCTTCATCATCCTCTTCTTCTTATTCTTTTGACCTTTCTTATTCCTTCTTTTTGAATATGACACTACTTTTTTAAAAGAAAAAAAGGAAAAAGTCCATTCTCTCTCTCTCACTGGACTGCATGTTCACCTTTCACTTCCTTTTCTCACTTTACTTGCCTGCTGCTGGACACAACAACAGACCCAAAGTCATTGTGTACAGTCTGGTGAAAAAAAGAGGCCTAATAACTTTCTCTTTCATCATGTTTGTGTGTTGATATAATATAATGATAATATAAAAAAAAGACCTTATAATATTTCTCTCTCTCTCTCTCTCTCTCTGCCTACAGAAATAAGTTATTATTATATAAAGCAGCAAGATAGAAAGGGAGGAAGAGAGAGTGAGCAAGAAGAAGAAAGTAAGATGATGATGATAAATAAGAAAAGAAAGGGCAGAGAGAGAGAGAGAAAGTTGTTTGATGATAAAAAACTGGTAAGGAAAAGAAGGCCAAGGCAGATTGGATCTCTTGTTGTTTCCTCTATTACCTAACATTTTTTTCTTGATTGTAAAAGTGTAAACAACTCGCCATCATCATCATCATTTCTTGCAAAAGAAAAAACCAATGGCTATCTAAAAGTGGGTCAAAGGGAGTTTAGCCCTTATGTCAAGGATAAACAAAAAAGCTCAAGGGAATGGCCAGTTTTTTGGTTTATCTCCGGTGAAAGCAAAGGCGAAGATGATAAAAAATATAATATTGTAAAAAAATGGACAACCTGGTTTAACGTGTTGTTTACTTCATGTTGATTGTTTTTTTTACTTATATTTCTTACATACTTTCATATCCTCTTTGTCCTCTCTCACTCACTCACTCATCATCTTCATCAACATCCTCATCACCATTCATTAGCAACATAATCATCTTGTTTATTGTTATTGTCGATAGGGTGAGGTCATTTTGTCGCTTACTTGTTGTTTCTGTTTCTTTTTCTGCTTTTTTAACTTTTCATTAATATATTTTTTTATTATGTCAGTGGATCTTGATGATGATGTTGTTGTTGTTATTATTGTTGCTGCTTGTTATTATCTCTGACTTTATCCTAGTAACTTTAATTGCCTGAGGCAATTTGCACGAAAAGTAAAGCATAATAAGTTTTCCAAAATGAAACAAAATGTTACTTTTTTTGTGGAAACATTTTTTTATCACTATTGCTCTTTGATGCTCCATTGAAAATGTATGTAACTATTTTCTCCAGGATTCCGGGTTATTGGATCATGAGAGAGAGAGAGAGAGAGAGAGTGAGGGAGAGAGTTTTTCCTTCTTCTTCCTTCTCTCCATCGAGTAAAACCTTGAAACTAGTGTTGAATAGCCTGGATACCACACCCATTACGTAAGCTCTCCTCCCATAACCCTTTCTAATGTTCTGTTAGTTTCCATTTTCCAACCAATTACAATCAACTAAAAATAACTCGAAACACTTTTAAGCTCATTCAACTTTCACTTTTTCTCCTCCTTTTCACTTTTCAAGAGTAAATCCTTTTTTCCATGTCAAGGTTAATAGAACAGGTTAATCACTTACAGGTTAATCCTTAATTCGTTAACTATTCATTAACAAATAGTTTCACTCTCGATGATATAATGATGATGATGATATTAATTTGCAACAGCTCTTAATTCTCTCTCTCTCTCTGCAGCTCCTTTGATTAACATTTTGAAAAAATGATGCTGATGATGTTTCATGATAATCATTATGATTATGATGGATCTGAAAGTAACAATCTATTGGATTAACCATTTTGTTGAAACTTTTTAACTTTCGCCCCTTTTTTGCCTTAACTGGCAACAATTAACCTTAACAAATATTGAATTAAATGTTCATTATGAAGCACTAATTAACTTACAGTTGCTTTATTTTGATTAATGACAATCAAGCTGAAAGTTAATTAGACAATTCCATTAAATTACATATACAATATACATTGTATATTAATGTATATTTATATATACAGAATTAACTTTAAATTCAACAATTAACTGATTAACTTGTTATTATTTGTTTACATTTTAGGTGTTTAAATATTTTGATTTAATTGTTATGCTCAATTTTGTTTTTCATTTTAATTTCATGTTAATTGTTGTGGAAAAATAAATCACACTTAATATCATTAATCTTTGGTTATTATTATCATTGACTTGATGATTTATCATTTGGAGTTGATTGAGAAAAATGCTTGACCATTGACCCTTTGACCACTGGTTTATTGTTAATCTTTACCAATAGTTTCCTGATTATCCTTATCAAGATATTTCCTATTTATCTGTATCTGG